CTCGCCGAGGGCTACATCTGCATCGCCCTCTGCCGCAACCCGTCCAAGCTGACCCCCATCCTCCCGGCGTCGTCTCACCCGAACCTCGTCGTCAAGCAGGGCAACGCGCGCAACGTGGACGACGTCGCGGCGTGCCTGGTCAACCCGACCAACCCGCATGCGCTCGTCGACGCCGTGTCGTTCAGCATCGGTAGCCCGCTGGACGTGTGCAAGATGACCGTCGAGGACCCGGACGTGTGCAAGAACGGCATCGCGGCGGTGCTGGGGGCGCTCGAGACGTTGCGCGGGCGCGGGGTCGTCGGGAAGCCGCGGATGGCGGTGGTATCGACGACGGGGATCAGCGGGTTCGCGAGGGACGTGCCGGTGCTGCAGGTGCCGATGTATCATGTCCTGCTCCGCGCGCCGCACGCAGACAAGAAGGTGATGGAGGAGCGGTTGGCGGGGTCCGGGGAGGCGTGGACGGCGGTGCGGCCTGCGTTTCTGAGCGACGGGGCGGCGCCGGGGAGGACAGTCCGGGTGGGAGTCGAGGATCCGAGGACGGGGGTGGAGAGCAAGGCTGTGGGTTATGGCATTTCGAGGGAGGATGTCGGGAGATGGATTTTTGAGAATATCTTGCGGGATGGGGGCATGGAGTATGCGGGGAAGGCTGTCAGCATCACCTGGTGATGCTTGATGTGAGTGAGTGGTGGTGTTTTCTTCAAGGTTGAGTCGCGGCTCGGTAGATTTCTAGAAAAGGCCTTGAACGGCACCAATAAAGCTTTGAACGTTAACCAAGCGTTTCTCCCGTCCCAAAGAGCTCGATCAGTTCGGCCCAATCGGCGTCGTGACACAAGTCTTATTTGAAGAACGGAATCAGCGTGCCACGAGCGGTTCCCTCATGCCGGTGACCTGGTTGGATCTTCTGGCCACCCTGCATTCCCCTGCAGCGTTAGTGCTGAGCTTGGCTACCCATCTCGATAGCGAGTGTGTGCAGACCGTGTCGCTCTGGTGGATGGCGGCGGAGCGGGAGGGAGGCTCTTCGTCCGGTCGTTGTCTGCAATGGTGGTGGTGGTGGTGGTGCTGTTGCTGGTGTTTGGTTGGTTGTCGAAGCGCAGCCACGCCGGGAATAGATGCAGGTGTTGACGGCAGTGGAAGAAGATACGTACCCCATGCAGCGGTTGGAGAACCCACTTTTCGTGTCAAGGTCACTGAAGATACGTACCCGAGTGGCTGCCTCTTGTTGAACAGGGCAGTTTGCATTTCGGCTCTTCAAATTAAGCTGTTTCCTGTAAGTTGGGCCACCGAAACCGAAGTAGAGGGCGAACAACAGAACAGTCTGGGACTTTACGCAAGGCCATCCGTACCAGGAGAAAACGTCGTCCCAGAGCATTCTCTTGGGGGCTACCGTCGCCTCTGCCTCTGCAGGCCTGCGCGAGGTCAGCTGTCGGAAAGTTTCTCAACCAATCCGTCAACGGCTGCGCAGGCGGGTGAACATGTTTCGAAACGCGGCCCAGCTCAGCCCTTCCCACCAGCACACCAGGCCCGGCCAACCGCAGCGCCTGGAAGAGCCCGAGATGTGCTGTTTGGTAACCTAACCCCTTAAGCAGCACTTTGGCACGCTCGATGCCCCTGTTTCAAGAGTATTGGGTGGCACACAGCTGGGGCTTTTTTTTTTTTCAATCTTTTGGACAGGAGAACAGTAAGTGAGATATTTGCTGGATTACTACGGACCGCGAATTTTGCATATCTTCTGTCGCCGCTGTTGTCTGCCAAGCTGGGTAGCGAGAAGTGGCTTGCTGCGCAGATGACAGGATCCGCCAAACCAGACAGAGCCCCTCGGACTCGACTGGACCAGACTGGAATCCGACTCTGACGCCGATGCTTACCTGCGTCAAGCGGGTTTGAGGAACGTATGCAGCATGAGCAAAAAAATGAGTGTCGGAGCCTTTCTCGCCAAGGTCTGAAGGTCAGGTCGACAGGCGCCTACCATCTCGTCATTTGATGTAGGACTCCTTTCTTTTAGAGGGCCTGCCTTCTTCTGCATGGCTGGCGAGTAAGCCGTGTGACATGCCCCCCCTGAACCAACAAGAGCGTCTCTGCCGCGTCTTGCTCGCCAATCATTCCCACCTTTGCTGGGCTCCCGCCATGGCCACCCCGGCCTCCCTTGCCATTGCGTCTTTTGCATCTCTCGAACAAGAAAGCCCTGTAAGGCAAAGGATCTTTGGATGTGTGCGGGGTGTCTGAGTCTGACAGCAGAAAGGGGGCTTTGTGAAGAAAGGTTTGCTATCTGGCCGACCGCCTGCCCGCCTGTCCTCTGTGTGTCCCAGTGCAGTGGGCTTGTCATCCCATCCCTTCACTCAGCCCGTGGCTTGGGGGTGTGTGGTGTTGAAAGCTGGGATCCAACTGGGAGGGAATGCATGGGATAGGATGAATTAGAGAGACACAGAGTCAACAACCATGTGCAGCCTGCCCAACCTACCTACCTAAGCTTGTATGTTTGATCGACTTATAAGGTTGGCCCTGCCTCCTTCTTCCCTGGAAATTCGGATGAGGTCTCATCTTGTATGTTATTCGCAGCTTTCGACCAAACTTAATTTCAGCTTTTAAGGAAACGAAACGTCCCTTTTTGCCGCTTCTGTTCTCTCAGTACAACAACTAAGAAGGAACGACCCGACTTGAGCCTCTACTGCTCTTTCCTCCATCTCAGCATTCCACCCTCCACCCTCTCTTTCAACTGGCAGGCAGCCTTGCTGTTTTGATCTTTCGCGTGCTGCCTAGAGGAATTTTCCTTCTTCCTCCCTCTTACTTCCACCACACGTGTCACTCACACATACACACACTCTCTCACACACCCTCACTTTCACACAATCTCACGATCGTTTCAAAATAAACCCATCACTTCCACCATTCGAATCAAAATCCAAGATGCGCTTCTCAGCTGTCCTCGCCTCAGCGGCCACCGCCTCTGCTGCTGTCATTGGCAGACAGACCAACTCATCCGCTGGAACTGCTGCCAAGCTCCTGGTCGGCAGTGCCAATCGCATCTCCATTGTCAGCTACGACGGCAAGGAGTTCAAGGTCGTCGACAACTACACTGACACCGGCGTTGCTAGCTGGATGGCTTTCAAGGAGCCTAACCTCATCTACGCTGTCGATGAGAACAGCGCCGACCTTCGTCTGTTCACCGTATGTAATTTTTTTAATTGGGCTCCTGCCATCTCATCTCCCAAGACCGTTGACAGGCTGACACACTCTACAGTATGACGCCGCCTCGGACAAGCTGCAGCTTGTCACCAACAGCACTGGCTCTACAGGTGTCGTCTCCCTTGCCTTCACTGCTGACCAGAAGCGCCTCGTCGGCGCGTCCTAGTAAGTCTAATTAGCATAACACATCCTTCACCACATTCATAAGCTGACCATCCGACAGCGGCCAGGGCTCCATCGACATCTGGGACATCTCTTCGGGCACCGATCTGAAGCTCCTCAAGCAGCTCAACTCTACTGATCCTGTCGGTCCCAACACGCAGCGCCAGGATCAGAACCGTGCCCACCAGGCCATTCTCGACCCCTCCGGTCGCTTCTTCGCCGTCAACGACCTCGGTAGCGACCGCGTCCTGATCATTGACTCTAAGGACGATGCCTTCGTCATCTCCAACAGCAACAGCGTCCCCGCCGGCTGCGGCCCCCGTCACGGCTCCTGGTACCCCACCAAGGCCGAGCAGGCAACCCACTACATGGTTCTCTGCGAGTTGACCAACCAGGTCGAGGTCTTCCAAGTCTCCTACAACGGCACCGGCGTCGGTTTCGCCCACACCCAGGAGCTGAGCACCTTTGGCGCCGCCTTCCCTCCCGCCAACGCTAGCACCGCTGCCGCGGGCGAGATCGCCATCTCCAGCGACGGCAAGAACGTCTACGTCTCCAACCGCGTCACGGGCAACGAGACCGACTCCATCGCCCACTTCAAGGTCAAGCAGACCGCCGCGGCCGGTGGTTCTCCCTGCAAGGCCACCGCCGGCGGCATCGAGCTCGAGTTCGCCGACTCCGTCTCCTCTGGAGGTACCAAGCCCCGCATGATGAGCCTGTCCAAGGACGAGAGCATCCTCTACGTCGGCAACCAGGATGGTCAGGACGGCATCGTCGCCTTCAACCGTGGCGAGGATGGCAAGCTCACCGCCGGTGCTACGCTTGCCAAGTCGGTCATTGGCACTGGTGAGGACTTCGGTCCCCAGTACGTCCAGCAGATCGCTTAAGCTCGCTGCGAGGTCTCGTCTGTCGCTTTTCTTGTCTTTAAAAGGGATTCGTTACTTCTTTCATTTGGGGGAAAAAAGGGCACGGCGTTGCATGGCGAGATGGGCCACAGGCGTTCGGGTAGCGGGCACATGGCATGGCTGGATCAGACATGACACCGCTTGCTTGCATTTACACTCTGTTCTTGCCTGTATAGATACCTTGGTCATTGGTCTTTAGAGTAGTTACCTCTGAATGTGAGGTTCTGAATCAGATTCACCAATCAATCTTTCGAAATCGTGTGCAGCATTGCTGTGACTCGTGATGTTTCCGCACCGTGATGGAAGAAGAAAAGATGAGGTGTTGTCAATGGAAGTTCAAGGTCGGGACCTTGATGGGTCGGCCCAGGGCTAACGGCCGGTACAGGTAGCGTAGCGCGTGTCCACTGTGAATTTAGCGAGGCGGATGCACTACGACGTTGGAGAGGCCGCTAATCGGCGAACAAACATCCGCTAACGGTTCTGGTTGAACCACTAAAGAGCCTCACCCCACCCCGTGCAAGCGAGCGAGCGCATGGGCAGGAGTCAACAACAGTCCTCGCCTGCCTGCTGCAACCTCTGCGCAACCATCAACTATAACACCCCGCCCCGTATACGACTCTCGCCAGCCTCTCTTCGCCCGTCTTTCCTGTCTCCCGATTGTGCGGGATGTTTCGAAGCAGGAATCAACTTTAACAACAGCGACCAAAACACGCACAATACCTCGCGCCACGCCGCGCCTCGCCCATTGCCGCCATGGCAGACAAGATCACCTCTAAGAACCTCTCCTACGACACCAAGATCCCACCGTTCCTGCGAGCCCTGCACGCGCAAGCAGCAGGCAACGCCGCTGACCCCGATCCAATTCTCTCGAAGCGGCGGAGGGCGGGCAAGAAGCGCTCCGAGAGCGAGGAGGCCGAGGACGCGCCGCTGGTGGTCGACGACGAAGGCAATGTTGTCGATGTGAGGGTGGACAAGGACGGAGGCGTCGACGAGATCCAGCTGAAGAAGGACGAGGCCGACAAGGAAGACGTCACCAAGGAGGAGAAGAGGGAGGCAGACAAGGTTGCTGGCATCGGGGCCAGCAAGAAGAGAAAGGCTGGCAAGGTCATTGGCGAGGGTGTTGACGATGCCAAGGAAGACGGCAAGACAGACGCGAAAGACGAGGCCAAGGATGAGGGGTCGAAAAAGAAGGCCGGCAAGAAGAAGGGCAAAAAGATCAAGTTGAGCTTTGACGAGCCCGAGTGAACGTCTTCGTCTACACCACAAACAAGCATCATTACAGCCCGCAGGGCAGAGTTGACCGTTGAAGCTGTCACAGCTGCTTGCGTCTACAAAGTATGAAGCGGAAAGCCGTCCGAGCGGGGTACGCGGGAGCGGACGGAGGACATCACGTCGGGAGAAAAAGGTTCTATACAGCCACAACTAAGGTAATCTACACATCTGCCGTGCTCACTCCAGAGCAACCCGATGCCGCCTCGCCCCCGATCCCCTTGCTACTACAGGCTCGCCATCAAGATGGTGCATTTATTGGTATCGGTACTCGGGCTTGACGAAGTCGGCAAAGGTCTTGGGCTCCTCGTAGCCGTGGTGGTGGTCGTGGCCGTGGTGGTGGGCGTCCTCGGTAGGGCCGACGTACTCCATCTTGTAGACGGAGCCGCACTCGGGGCAGCGCTCGATGGGGCGGTCGCGGGAGATCTGTCGAGGTGTCAGCACAAAGCGCCCCGAACGGAACCGGCCATGACGCAGCGGGAGGGCGACGTACGGTCAGCCAGAGGGTGACGTGAGAGTCGGCGGGGGCACCGGTGCAGCCGAGGTACTGCTCGTCACCGGCAGAGCGGACGGGGATGGGGTTCTCCATGGTTCCTGGGGTTGCATTAGACTTTGGTGTTCGATACCGAGGGGTTGATGGGTCGCATACCCTTGCGGGAGGCATCGAGGGGGCGCATGTCGAAGACGTCGACGCCCTCCATCTTTCCGAGAATCTCGAGACGCTCGAGACCGGTGGACTGCTCGAGATCGGTGGGGATGTCGCCGGGCTTGGCACCGGGACCGAGCAGGTCGTCCTCGGTCTTGACCTCTGTACCATAGCAATTGACGTTAGTTTCCTTGCTTCTCTCGAAATAGTTTGCTCGTAAATTCGTTTGCATGGCCGTCCATCGTTCGACGCGGTTCGGGAGGTGTCGTTGGTTTTTTAGGTGGGCTGCCTGGAGCGATGGCAGCATTCCGGGACACCGCGCCGGCCGAGGATAGGTCCAATTCACGAAATTTCGAGTCAATTGACGGAGACCTTACCGGAGAGGGTCTTGTAGTTCTTGGCGGGGGTAGAGCTGGAGCTGGGGGCAGCATCGCCTGTGTGATCGCGCGGGTCAGCGAAGTGTATGGGTGATATCGGGATGGCGGGCTCGCGTGTATTTTTTTCGGGATTTGGGGGAGGGACGCAAGAGTCAGGCAGGAATCAATTGAGGGATCGTACGGCGGATCATGGAGGTCGCGAAAGTGCGTCTGGCGAGGGGAGCGACGGCAGCCCGGCGGGCGACGGCGATGGCGGAGCGTTGCAAGAACATGGCGGCGGCAATTGGGTGGGTTGGAGAGGAGAGGTTCGTGACGTCGGGTTTGGGTGAAGAGAGAGGGATTTGTCGATGGCCTGATTTGATGGCTTGATGTTGCGGCTGTCGGGTAAGCTACGGGAATCCACTCCAGAGAGCACTGGCCAAGAGGTGCCTACCGTAACTGGAACATTAAGCGATTCCACGTCACGTGATGTCGAGACGACCAAATGAGAGCGGTGACATTACCGAGCTTATGAGAAGGAAGCGTGAGAGTGGCATGATTTGTGAGATAAACGTACAACGACAGTGGACGGCTATATGTCTATGAGTGCCAGCTATTCGTACCATGAATAATCTCAATACGGTAAACTGAGGTCTTTGAGCAAGTGAGCAAAAGCCAACCCAGACTGTTTCCAATCGTCCTTGATTCCCGTCCTCCGTAGCAAGCCAAATCCGTCCTCCTCATCGCTCAGTAGTACGTTACCATAGCCTCACGCTCAGTGCAAGGGAGCCACGGGAAGATGAACCCATGCGAAACTTTTTTACCCGTTCGCGGGAAGGGACTGGGGCCAACATCCATTCTCGGATGCTCTGCTAAGAACTGCACCTCCTCATCCCTGGGAAGAAGTCCTTTCTCCTCCTCCGTAACGCCCGACAAGCTCATATCTTCGTCTTCTCTGCTGTCATTGGACATGACAGACTCTCGGTTTCCAGTATGATGCTCCTCTTCAGCCAGATCCCGTGAATGGCCGTCGCTGTTCAAGTTGTCAAGCGACATATGCTGTGAGCCACTCGTACCAATGTGTAGCCACTGATTCTGCATTTCCTCGCCTCCTGTCATTGCCTCCATAATCACGTCCTGCGCTGCTTCGAGATGCTTCTCGACATCGGTAGGCCGACTCATTCTGACGAGACCTGTTCTCGTCTGACCTTGTCGGTGAGAAGTTCTCTCAGATGCTTCGGATGTGCTTGAGGTCTTCGCGGTCGTGGAAACTGCTGCCCTCGTCGAGGAAGAAGCCACTGCAGAATTTTCGGTAAAGTCCAACGTTTCGACAGAAGATCTGGGGCGCAAAGGGATTATGAACTCGAGTCGTCGCATCTTCTTGGGAGGAGTGAAGTCGTCCACGACGATCACTTCGTCTTCGGGTGTGCGTTGACGAATAGTTGTCGAAGACTTTCGTCTTTTGCGTCGGCCTTGCTCCGGGGCAGTTGTCTGAACCCGCTTCTTGGTCGGAGTCCGGCGCGAACGAGGCGACGGCGTGTCTGGGGTTTGCGGTGCATATGTTTCTGATGCAGACGTCAGCCGAGGCCCACGAAGCCCTGAGGGGGTTGCGGTTGATGGCTCAGAAGTGGTTCCAGCTCCATGTTGTTCCTCTGTCGAAGTCGATAGCAGTACATGAGATGTTCTGGACAGCGGTTGGCCCCCAATTCTGTCCAGCTTACGGCCATAAAAGTTGTAGTCGTTGGTATGCTGAGCGCCGCGGATAATGGCTTGTCGCATAACCGGATCGAGAGAGTGATGGCCCTCTTCAACGATAGACCTGCAGAAAGATTTGGCACCGGTATGCGGTCCCCGTTCGAAGATGACACTCATACGCCAAAGGAGGAAGTAGAGCGGCTCCATAGCCAGCTCGCCTCGGACATGCAAAGCTTGGAGACGATTGAGGACGTTGCAGACTTGGTACAGGTTGTGCGACTGGCAAATACCCTCAGCGGGCATGTGCTCCTTAGCCATCATCTGGTTTGGATGCATCGTCTTTCCAGGGCAAAACCATCTTTTGACCACTCTCAGCTCATTGGCCAGTCGATAGTACCTCCTGTCACGCTTGTCGAAGTCCTCCTTTTCCTCGTCTGTGAGAGGGCCATGCAGCATTCTCTCGTGCCTCTCATCAGTGTCGTCTTCGTATTGGCGCTGGAGGCGATCTGCGTCCATGGCGTCGACGAATTTTGTCCAGGTAGGCACCCAGTACGGACCGTCTTCGGTGATGGGTGTGGATGGGACACCCCGAAGCATAGCCGGCCTGACGAAAGTCTTGCCGTCGTCGCTTGTGACGAAGACTTGTTCCCACGGAGTGCTTGTGATCTCGAGTAGTGCCGCTGCCTCTTCGTCGTCCTTGGGATCAGGGGCGTCGGTGGACTCGACAGGGGCAATCGCGGCGAGCTTGGCCTTCTTCTTCTCCAGCCTGTCTCTGAGGGCAGCCAATGTGTCGATCTTTTCATCGAACTTGTCGCAAAGCTGCTGGATTTTGACTCGGATTTGAGTGATAGCGTCGTCGAAGCGCTTCGTGGAGCCTGAGTGGCTGACCCTGTCCCGTTTCAAGCCATCGATCTCAGCGTCCTTGTAGGCGATTTCTGTCTCGATGAGGTCGGCAGCAGCCTGAGTCTCCGTCAAAGTCTCCTCCAGCTCTGCGATAGAGGAGATCAGGCGCGACTTCTGGATGAGCGGGGTAGGACGAGAGGGTGAGATTGTCGGCATGTTGGAGTGGGAGGCGGCCTCGAGAGCCGGGTGTCGAAGACTTGAAGAATGAGAAACAAAACAAACGAGAAAAAAAAGGGCTTATTCGATGTTGGATAAGTTTGAAATTTTTGTGACTGCAGATGGAGCTTCGAGGTTACCGATGAGTAAGTAGCGCGGTATAGGAGAGGACGCGAGGTGGTATGGCGGTAACAATGATGTGGGTGGTTGCTGAGAAAAGACTCTGGCTGTAAAACGCGGTGGTGAGCTTTTTGTTGTCGACGGGGAGGGTAGGTAGCAGAAAGGCAGTTTAGGAAGGCGCAAGTCGTCAGACCTTTTCAATTGACAGTCACTTCAGTGTTGAAGCAAAGAGGGGAAAGAACGGCAAAGACGGAAAAAGAAGCAACGACTTCAGTTTACAAGGTAGAGCATGGAAACTGCAGGTGCGAAAACCCGCCAAAGGAATGTTTGTGTCATCTACAAGCAAAACTCATCTACAACCAAATTGCCTCGTCCATCTATCAACCTCCAGAGAATCTGTCTAACGTAAGTACCTAAAATGTATACAAAACCTGACAACGGCTGGGGCTAGCGTGTCCCCATTCCTTGCCCGGTCGTCGGTGGTTCATCATGTCATCATAACTTTTCCTTTTCGACCTTTCGCTCTCTAATGATGCCGTCTTGATATCCCGTAGCCACATGAACACCAGAAGGACTCCACATCTTACACACGAGCGCCCCTCGCCCCTGACCCGCACGAGGGAACGAAACCTCCTGAATCCACCACCCGTCCTCCGCCCCTGAAGGATCCTTCATCACAGCCTCATCAACGTTGACGTGAACAACGAAGGCGTACGTCAGGCTTGCTGCTGTTCCCAGACTCCATCCGAGGCCGATGTGGTTGCCCACCATCAGAAGGCCGTTGCGATCTGACTCAAAAGCATGCACGAGAACATGCTGGTTTGGGTCGTCAGCTGGGAGGGGCCCTCTCAGCCGGTAGAAGAGCAGTTCCCTCCGTTCTGTTACCGGCTTTCCTTCGTTCCAACCAGTCAAGTCGACCTTGTGCATATCCACAATGGGGAAATGACCCGAGGCGTCGGGAAACATGGCTTTGATCTCTTCCACGTCCACTGCAGGCGCCTTGGGCCAGTCCCCGGGTGCTTTTGCTTTGAGAATTTCGGCAAATCTTTGCTGTGGCGGAACTTCTTGGGAGCTCACCCGGCCCTCTTCTGGTCGTTTGAAAGTGCATATGCAGCTAAAGCAGACATCGCCGAGCTCGCTTTCTAAGTCTTCGAGGTTGAAGTCATCGGCCTGGAGTCGTTTGCTTGGTTCCTTCGGCTGACGCACTATTACCAGGCGAGAGCAGAACGTCCGACTGGTAGACAAACTGGAAACCTCGTACACGAAAGGCCGGTTGGCCCTTGCCGCCGCTGAGAAGCAGCCTTGTATACTCTGAGAGACGAGTTAGTGACCGAGGCCATCACCTGGTAATTCAACTGGATATCTCACATGAAGTCCAAAACCCCCTGAGTGAGTACCCGTCCCTGCCGGCTCCTCCTCTTCCAACGCTCGACACGCAGCTAGTGGGGCTTGTGTGTACACATGTCCTCCGTAGGCAGCTCGAGGATCTGCTTTGGATCCGCGCCCCTTGCCGCCAACGAGCTCCGATCCAGGGACCCAGGCTGGCCAAAGGCTCATGTATCGCTTGACTTTACTGTCGGGAGTTGGCGGCGGTAGAGGGGCAAGTGCCATAACATTATGGAACCAAAGCTTCTCGGACATTGTGAGTGAGGGAGAAAATGAACAGTGCGACGGCAGAGTGAATGGCGTTGAATGGCTGAATGGAAAATCAATTCATCAAAATAAAGCACGAACCCGAGGATCTTTCTACACGCTTATGAGACGAGTTCTGGCAGGTAAAGTTGACAGCTATGAAAGCTTTGGGATTTGCGAATTAAGCTTCCAGGGGCACTGTTTTTGGCCCAACAGAGTCTCTGTTTTTGAGACATCGGTCGTCCAGTGGAAAATGAACCTCGGGACGAAGTGGCCTGTGGCGGGGCCGTGGCCGTGCGTACCGGAGCTGCTCCCCCAAACTCTCGGTGCGGAGCCGAGGTAGCCATGTGAGGGGAAGCTCCTCGCTCACGCTGGATCATTCTGCTCCTTGTTGGAGTGGAGGAGGCAAAGAGGATGATCTCCAGGGAGAGCCGTGGTTGTTTGTGGGGCACCCGGACTCGCTCCGTGAGAAGCCCATAATTATCGGCCCTGGGTCAATTGAGCTTCATGATGGCCGGCTTCCGTGTTGCTCCGGGTGCATCGGGGTGTTCACGGTGGTGGCAACAGATGGATAGAGGGACCTCTGAACGGAAAACACGCCAAGTTGGCTGATGTAAGACGGCGATGCTGATGAGTGATCACCATTGCCCGGAGATACGGTATCATTTAAGGCATTCGACGCTCTGACAGTACTTGGACACCCATGTCGCGACTCTTCTCAAGAGGCCAAAGCCGCTGCTACCCTTAATTGCGGACACATTGCCCACCAGTTTGCCTCGATCTGACAGGACTCTTCTCTTCACGGACCCAAAAAACAAACACGACCTCAGACGAACTTTTGGTCGGTTGTCACCTTACACTTGTGGCCTGGCGTGTGTGGCCTCGGCCAAGAGCCCACTGTCAGCGCTTTTGACAACTGATGGAAGACACAGCAGACCAGTGGGTCTTGGCTTAATTGTCTAGCTGTGCCAGGCAGTTGATGAGTGTCTTGAACCCATCTCTGCTGTATTTGACAAGCTTTACTGGGCCCAATATGCAGGAGTTGCAGCATGCGGGCGTTCCGGACTTCTGGATGACTTTCTTGGGTTAGGAAGGCTTGGTATGTTTTACCAACTGACAGAAGAGCGCTGGAAAAGACGCCGAGAACTTGTCAATGTCGACTCCTCCTTGGCAATTCGGTCAGTAGGTACCTGCTCACTGATGCACCGCACAGCCCGCCCGGCTGCCACCGACGGACGAACCCAATTCATACAAGTTACAACCACATCGAGAAAGTCATTCGTCCCCGACATTATTGGTCCAAAACCCGCTCTTCTCGCCCCGAAATCACCCCCTAGTGAGAATTCTCCTAGACGGCGCGTGACCCTCCTATGTCGTGGCTAGCGGCTCATTGTCCAACAGCCCAAACCAGACCACAGCAGCCATCCGTACGGAAAACGCACTGCTCGGTGGGCAAACGAGCACCGCGCGATGCTCTTCCGGGCTCCCCGCGTCCAACGCCCTCGCCTCGCCCTGCCCCCCTTCTCAGCTCAGAGTAGGTATGCCATCAAGCAAAGGGTGCTGCTGATGAGCGGTGTCGGAATGATTTCTGTTGGACGGGCACACTGCATCATGCACCCCGTAGTGATGGGCCAGGCGCATGAACACGATGGCAGGACAAGGCCTGGGGAGACGGCTTTCCCCCGCAAACTGAGCGAGCAAATGAGAGACATGTTCGGTGTGAGATCAGCTTCTGCCGTCGCCTTCTGAGCACTTGGTGCTTCTTTTTGTGTTGCTACATCTCGACTGCTCTGGCTTGGCTCCTTCGGTATTCGAGATGGATGCCAGTCAAACTGCTAGCGAGGAGGCGAAGAGGCAGATCGTTGCAGTTTGTCCCATTGCTGACAGCCTGCTCTACCGGGGCGTGGCCTCGCTGATCAGTCGTCGGAATCGAACCCTTTAAAGGATGGCCGACTGCGGACTTCCTAACCGGGATGCTATTTGAAACAAGATGCAGGACCAAGTGAGGCCCTCCATATTTGAAAGCGTGGCTGTTTGTTTGGATGAGCGCAATTGGAAAACCTCAGAGCTGCGGGTGACTCAAGCCACAGGCGGAAAAAGAAACATTGCTTGATGCCCAAAAGCCGCCAAAAATTCCAGAAAAAACATGACTTTTGTACACTGGGGTTTGTAGAAATATAATGGGAAAAATCGAGGTGATCAGGAATGCAGAGTCCTCTTCCTGGCTTCTCAGCTCTTCGGATAGTGGCGAGAGCCACTCCCGGGTACACTGATAAAGACATTGGCCTTTGAACCTGCGTAACATTTCTATCCCCTACAAGCTATCAGCACCCCTGCTTTCGCAAACGCGCTCCCGCCGAGAGCCTCCGATTTGTTTCTCGGAGGTGTCAGCGTCAGCACCTGGCCTTCTACCTAGAAGACAATGTGTGGCGTGCATCGTCGTGTCACATCGACTTCGGAGAGGGTAGTCTCTAGTCTGGGGTGCAGGAAATCATGTCTCTTCCTCCCTGGCGGGCGCTTCTCTCATCACTTCCCCATCAATGTTATCGATGGGTCACTTATTTACGATGAACAAAGACCGACTGAAGCTTCACCTGATGTCAAGCCATTATGAACCACTGTCTACTTCCACGCGAAACCATGAACAAGGCGGCAAGAGATGAGATATATATTTGCCTTCCTCTTGGGAATGCTACACAACATGCTTACCTGAATTCCTGGGCTTTCAACTTGCGTACAGCTCAAGAATGTCCCAAGCCTGAAGGCTGAAAAAAAAAGCCCCAATTTCCTGCCCATGTCACATTGTCTGCCCCTCTCAACCCCAGACCGGGGTGGTGGTGCATGACCAGGGGGGGACCGCCGCATCCCGACCATCCCATTCGTTCCAAGCTGGTCTTTTCCCCAGGTCTTTGCCATTCCTGCCTCCCGCGACCCCTGCCCTGCTTCATCTTCCTCCACACATCAGTCAACATCGACCTTTCGCTCCGCCTAGTCTGGTCTGCGTGGTACGGCGAAGTAGCACCACACAGCTAGGAAAGAGGAGGTGTGAGAGGGGAACAGAGTCTGAACACGATACGCTGGTCAGGTTACCAATGAGCGGTTCCGCCCCGTTGGTCCATGCTGATCTCCCTCCTGTGTCTCTCTTTCTCCGCCTCTCCACACTTTCTGTGCCTCTGCGGCGGTAGTAAGAGGAATCCGGCAAAATAAGTAGGAGACTGGGTCTCGTGCTTGTCTTGCAGTCGCGGCCCCGAGTTAGCCTTTTCGCCTCTCCCGTCCTCCCCACTTCAGCCCGCACGCCCGTCACTTGACATAAGGGTCCTTTCTATCCGGCCAAGAGAGACTCCTTCTGGCTGTCTTCCTTCTTTTTCTGGAGACGCTTTGCTCCGTAGTCACCTTCGCTTGAACTATCCGTCATTTCTTTCGAGTGGGATGTGTATGAAAGCAAGCTCAGCACTCAGTGAGCGGATGTGGGGAATGAGACGACTTTGATCGTTCGAGTCCTCCTCCAGTGCAACCCGTGGGCCTGGACTAGGACTTCAGCAAATCATCCACCAACTCTTTCACTCCAGAAAAGTACCATTGCGGAAAGCCCAAATATGGTGCTCGAAGTCGGGTCTCTAAACCGCCAGACCTTAGAACCGTTCAGGACATGGCAGCTTGAGAGGTCGGGATGCGAAGACACCATCGACTCGGACGCTGGGAGCGACCTATTCTCATCATTGGTGCCACGGCAATGCTCCATACACCATGGAGGCTGCCCCTCGAATTCAGCCCAAACCCGTGCCCCAAAAGACGCGGAGAGTCCCTTGATACAATGTCTTGAGCTCCTCGCAACGGCCTCACCGAAGGCTACCCCAGCGACTGAACAGGCCTCCTCCTCCTCAGCCCGAGATCAGTCGAACACTGCAGTTACTTTGAGCGAGAAACATGAGAAAGCCGACTTTGACTTTCCTAAACAACTTTCGCTGCTTAAGCTCGAAAAACGCCGCAGGCCAGATTCAGACGTCGACGGACCACACACGGCCGCCCTGAGCTCCAAGAAGCGTCGCTTGAGACTTCATCTAATCACCAGCCGACTGTCCCAGCCGTACTCACTACCCGCGACGCACATCATCAACCGTGACGGTGCGGCTTCGGGCGATAAGCGGTTCGTCAAGCTGGCTGCGGTGGCCACCTCGCCGGAGCACGGGAAACCGGGCTTCAACCGTGAGAGCTCGTTGATGTTGCGGGCGGCCGTGTTGAACAGAGTGAGACTCCGAGTGCGGAACGAGGCGACGCAGCGGGGCGACGTCGTCATTGCCGTTGCGGCTGCCAATGCTGCTGTGCTTCACCATGGCCAACAGCTTGCCACCGGCGCAAGGTTCGTCGCTCCGTCTTTTGCACTTGCCGAGAGACAGGAACAGCCACCTCCGCGGGTAATTTTGATGCGCCCTGGCGTAGTAAATACCCCAAGTCCAAGTGCTCTGTCGACGCAGGTGGAGAGGAAACCGTCTCCTCCGAGGACGCCGCAGTCCACACGCACGTTGCCGAAATCGCCACGCTTACATCCAGCCCGCTCGCCTAACTTGACGCCGTCCGAGACCATGTTGGAAGAGTTGGATGACGACGCTCCTCTGGCGTTCCCGACGTCAGACCAAGACTGCCAGTACGCTTGGGCTGACGAAGACGACCTGGAAGACGTATACTCAGACTTTGGTGCCATCTTCGGCGGGTCGGCACAGACCCGAGATGGTGAGGATGATGGCTCGTATGAGGAGTATCTCGATGAGCTGGACGGGATATCGTGGGTTGGCCGGTGATACCGGGGAGGCGGTGAAGCTTAGATCGCAAGGCCGGCGAGTGTTCGGAACTATATTGCTTGCTCAAGTTGAAGAGCAAGATCTAGGCCAATGTGAAGCGGGGCGCGTTCTTCAAAGGCGGTCCTGCGATTGATGAACAACGCGAGAACGTCAGAAGAACGTCAGGAAGAACGAAAAGTGTGAGGATGATAACGAAGTTCAAAACTTGACTAAATAGTGAGCATAATTGCACAGAATAAGAGAAAGAGAAAAGGCCGCAACGCCTGTCATTGACCGTATACAAACCTCGCCGGCTTTCTAGCTTGCTCAATCTCTCAATCACTCAATGACTTGATGTAGAAGACGCATTTTTCACCACGAAAAGGGAAAAAAGCGCGTTGAGGGAAAGAAGCACAGCATACACAGAAAACCTTATCTCTTGGCGAAGACAACTTCACCTCAAGATATGATGCCATTGGGTATCGCCGGAATTAGGCCGGAAACGGAACTTGGGGCAAGCTCAGGTGTGTCCTCGAGACGAGGGAGGGACCCTTTGCGCCTGGAAGACCCCGCCGGTTCCGATGGTCGGCCCGGTCGGACATCTCCCCGGGTTGGGTTCCGCCCCCGCCGCCTTTACAGCGTTGGGGACGGGCGGGGTGTTTGGTGGGGGTTCATTTAATCAGGCGAAGCACCACCCCGGATTTCGTCTGATTCAATAAGCATCTTCTCGTGTTCCCTTTGACCTGTACATATGTCTATTCGCAGCATCATGGCAGAAGTACTAGACACCATCGTTATCGGAGCTGGCTGGTCCGGCGCTGTTGCCGCCCGCGAGCTTGCCGGCAAGGGACGCAAGGTCCTGGTCCTGGAGGCCAGAGACAGAATCGGAGGACGTGCCAACACCTGGGTCAAGGGAGATGTCAAGGTTGATGTTGGATGCAGCTGGATTCATGGTTACCGGGAGGGAAATCCTGCTAGACACATCGCTCAGGATTTCGGTGTTGTAAGTCGATATGATTATGCATGACTGGCGTCAGGCTAATGAGATGAGTAGGCTGCTCACCTGCCCCAGCCTGCTGAGGGCGTGATTTATGGCCCCAATGGTTCGTTATCACGTTTTGCCCTGGACCAGAATTGCCATAGCTGATGCCGTGAAGGCCGCCTTCCCAGTTCTAGTGCCGATAGCCTGCGTTCAGGCTTGGGTGCTGCTCAGGCTTCTACCAAGCTTCCCAACCCGCCTCCCCCATCGTCTGCCTCATTGGCATCTGCCTTGCTGGCACCCAACTCGGCTCTCTTCTCAACAGCCTCCGACGAATCCTCAAAGGATCTGGCCGCTGCTCTCGCTCGATCCCTAGAGGTCCCGCTGGGCCTCAAGCTCGAAAAGGCTTCTCTCAAGTGGGCTGGCTGGGAGGGCGCTACGGCATTTGCAGGTTCCGATGCTGCTCCCGAGGGAGGTTACCAGGCTCTCGTCACCAGGGTCGTCGAGGATGCCAAATCCAAGGGTGTCGAGGTGAAGCTGGGTACCAAGATTGCGGGTGTATCACACAGTGAGAGCGGCGTCGTTGTCACGGATACCAACGGCAACAAGTTCACGGCGAAGACGGCCATTTCCACCATCCCTCTTGGTGTCCTCAAGACCCTTCCCGAGAGCACCTTCAGTCCCGCTCTGCCACCCCGATTTCAAGAGGCGATTAAGGGCACCCATGTTGGTGTCCTCGAGAAGCTTCTGCTTCAATACCCCAGCGCCTGGTGGCCCGAGGCCGACAAGGCCGGCTCCTATACCTTCTTGCCCACATCCACTAAGCCTGTCACCGAGAGCTCTACGCCCCTGGAAGTCTTCGAGGCTTCTACTCTGGTCACCGCAAACTTCGCGGCGCCGTCGCTACCGGGCCCGAGCCCAACTCTTCTGACCTATCTCTCAGAGACTCCTGCCACCGCCCTTCTGCGACACGACCCGAAGGATGTAGCTGCCGCCTTCCACAAGTTCCTCATTTCCCGGTTCCAACCGTCCTCTCAACCCCCAGAGCCGACAGACACCAGCCTGACTAATTGGCTGACTGACGAGTACTCCCGTGGTGCAACAACAACTCCCTCTATCATTTCAGAGAACGGCGAGCGTAGTCCTCTTGACTTCAAGGAGCTGAGCAGGCCTGTCTGGGACGGGCGCCTTGGCTTTGCCGGAGAGCACACCGAGATGGAGCACCGTGGCAGTGTTGCTGGAGCCGTCGTCAGCGGGTACAGAGAGGCCGAGCGTGTCGGAAGACTGCTCAAGTTGCTCGAGGAGAGTGCGAAGTTGTAGATGACATGCGGCGTACAAGATGGGCTTAGATAGACACCGTAGATATGGGGAACTACATTGGGCTAGCCGTATTGAATTTAGGCCTCGGTGCCCTTCCTTCCTGGCACCGCTTATTGCTCGCTTATGACATTATTCGTTCGGGACTCGTTCGAGCGGAGACCCTTTCGTCGACGTGGATACGTTTTCAATCCTTCAATGAGAAGCCGCCTGCAGTTTGGATGCCCTGTCTCTTGCGATGTCGCACATGGCCTACTCAGATTAGCACACAACGTCGGGCTTCGGGCGGCTCCGGCCTACGCACTTGTACCGCAGCGCGCTCTTCCAGAGCGATATCGCCGCGGGCGATGCGCGTGCGCATGTCCTCCATGATCTCAGGACGGCCCCTCCCATTTACGAAGACAACGTATCTCAGACCAGGGAATCGGATCTCGTACTCCGAGTTCAGCGCAGCCAGCTCGGTGCCATCGCCGGTCTGTAGTTTGGCTTGCTCAGCGACAGATTGAGCGCTCTCAACCTTTTTCGCACCCAATCGAGGGTGTGATCCGATTATCGCATGAAGTTCGGTCTTGTGGGAGGGATCGGCGGCGAGTGCCTCGAAAATCTTTTGGCAATGGGCGATCAGTTCGTCGTAGGATTCGAATGAAGCGGCGGTTAACGAGGGGAGGAGTAGAGCGTGAATCGCGGGGCTTGGTTCGAAGAGAAGATCGAGGATTTTGGTTTGCTCTTCTCCAGAGAGCTGAGCGAGAGTACTGATGTCGGGGAGTGAGGTCATTTTCGCTATATTTCCGCAGTTTGGGACGAATTGTTACTGAATTGACTTTCTGAAGAATGAGTTAAAGAAGCCGAGGTGCGAACTGCGCGACGGGTGTGATATCATGGCTCGATAAGTCGATAAGATATGATCGATAAGCCACACGTGATGGAGTGGCTCGTGCTGGAGTTATGGGTCCACCGCCAGCTGCTACTACCAGGCAGGCATCGAGGCTGAAGATTTGTTTTGGAGAGAAAAGCCGACGCGAACCATCAAACGGCCATTACATCGCGACGTTTGATAAGATGCTTTGCGCAAGTGAGTGACGATACTCCTCGATTCAATTGGAAGTATCTGACGCGTTTTTCAGTTTCGGGAGAAGCTCCCCAGGAGCCCGTTGCCTCAAAGAAGTCGGGTAGGTAGTCGCGCGCTGCGCCCGACAGATGTGGCTGGCTAACAACGGACAGGCACCGTCTTCGAGAAGCGCTTGATCGAAAAGTACATCGAAGAGAACGGCACCGAGCCCGTTACCGGAGAAGCCTTGACGGCCGACGATCTCCTCCCGTTGACCCAGTCGCACATCGTCCGACCTCGACCCCCGACCCTGACCTCCATCCCAGCGCTGCTGGCGACCTTCCAGAACGAGTGGGATGCGCTAGCTCTTGAGACATTCAACTTGAAGGAGCAGCTGGCAAGAACGAGAGAGGAGCTCGCTACGGCTCTGTACCAACACGATGCCGCCGTCAGGGTTATCGCCAGATTGACAAAAGAGAGGGATGAGGCCAGAGAGGCGTTGTCCAAGGTCAGCGTCACCGCTGGTGCTACAAATGGAGATGCAATGGCTATCGACTCTGCCGAAGCCCTTCCCGAAGAGCTGGCCGAGAAGGTCAGCGCCAAGCATCAAGAGTATGTCTTTCCAAGGATGAGTGTATTGCTACGGTTAACTGACACTTTGCAGGCTGTCCAAGGGTCGCAAGAAGCGTCCAGTTCCTGAGGGCTGGGCTACCCCCGATGATATCGCCTCCTTGGACACTGTGGCCTCCACGTCAACACCCCTTTCGCAAGCCTCCTCTCTTGCCCTCGAGGGTAGCTATGCTGCCGTTGGTGCCCGCGATGGACAAGCGGCGATATACTCGGTCGAGGCACAGCAGGTTGAACGCCAGGTTGCAGTCAATGAGCCCGTTCTCGACTCTGCCTGGACTGGAAGCAAGCTTATCTTTGCCACGAGCAAGGGATCCGTCAAGATTTTTGAGGGCGGTGCGGAAATTGCGTCGCTCTCCGAGCACGCTGGACCTGCCACGTCGCTCAGCGTTCACCCCACGGGTGAGCTGCTTGCTTCCGTTGGTTCGGATAAGAGCATTGCATTTTACGATCTTCACGCTCTGAGAAGAGTCAGCAGGGCATACACAGACGCCTGTAAGTTGTTGGCCCGTCGCATAACTCTTTGCGCCCATCACTAACTGCCGCAGCTTTGACATCCTCTGCTTTCCATCCCGACGGCCACCTCTTCGCCGCTGGTACGGTTTCCGGCGAGATCAAGCTCTTCCACACGACAAGCCTCGAGTTCGCCACTGCGTTCTCTCTTGGCGCGCCCGTTGAGGCTGTGACTTTCTCAGAAAACGGATTCTGGCTGGCGGCCACGGCGAAGGGCCAAAGCTCGGTTACGATTTTCGACTTGCGCAAGGAGGGAGACGCTGCTAGAGCCAAGACGCTGGAGACGGGCGGACCTGTCCAGTCTTTGGCGTGGGACTATACCGGCCAGTTCCTTGCCACTGGCGGTGCGGGAGGTGTCACTGTTCAGCAATACATCAAGAGCTCCAAGGCATGGTCGGAGCCTTTCAGGAGTTCCGTTGCGGCGGCGTCTGTGAAATGGGGCCCCGGAGCCAAGCAGCTGGTTTCTGTCAATGAGGATGGCGTCGTTTCTGTGTTTGGAGTTAAGGCGGAATAAAAAGTAGCTGGAAGTATCCGGATTTGCCGCATGTGTATTATAGGCAGTAATGGGGCGGACAAGTCTATCAAAATGATATCCGACGTCTTGGGCTCATATTGAATGTATAAGAAGTGTTGTTTTCCTGGGGTAATGGCCTCGATTTTGTCTTGCGACGGAGCGCATTTGCCGGGCATTGGCCGTCGCCATGTGTCGATCTTGGTGCGCAGTAATTCCCCGGGCGTACCTAGGCACCTTAGTTGAGAACAGCCCGGCATCTATCTTAGACTCTCGTCCCCAATGAATCACCACCGAAACGATCACACATTCATCAGTGAGTTATTAGTGACCTTTCCTGGGGGGCCAAGGTATGACATAAGCACCGTAGGCCTAAAGCCAATTTGCACCGTCATTGTGATGGGCGCTGTCAAGGTTCTTCGCTTAGCGACATCCCTTCGGCAGGCAGGTACCCACGTTCCCTGTTGGCGCAGAGGGGTCCAGCTTATCGGGTTCAATCGCCCCTGCACCGTGTGAGCTTATCTAAGGCGTTCAGTGTCGGGTGCTCCGTCCATCCATAGGCTCGGATCTAAACAACATTAACGCAACCGCCACCAACAACACCTCTCACCCAGCCTGGAGGCAATCTCGAGGCTGCGTGCACTTTGTCCACCAGACTTGCTCTCAACAGCAACACCATAACCCCGACAACTTTGCCGCCTCCGCAGCTGGGAATCCGACCGCGCACAACTTTGCCCACGGGATGGTCGCACAACTTTCGCGCCCGTCGTAGGAGATTCACTCCTACCTACCCTATTTCTCCACCGAGAAGCCGCGACTCAGCGCCACGACCCATACCTGACGTACAGAGGTACGCCTCACAGCTACCTGTGGCCTGGATCTCCCTGGATCTTGCTCTGCGCATTTTTGACGACACGGTTTGTTCGTGCACACCTTTCTGTTCGCATTACTCGGGCTTAGGACACTAACACATCTCTAGCGCCAACCCACCAGGCTCGGAACTGGATCATGAGTCTAGATACTTCGCCTGAACCTTCTTCGCCTGAACCCTTCTCCTCCGATATCGATATCCCAGCAGTCGACGACGACGACATTCAGGCCTACAACGAATTCTTTGCCGCTGCTGAGGACTTGGTCTCTGAGCACTCCGACCACAACTCCAATCCCTCCGATCGACTCGGCCCGCGTTCGCCCTCCTTCGACTCTGAAGCCGACGCACAACACGATTGGGACCCGGAGGAGCTGTCCGAATCTCCAGAGCCGCTTTCAGACCTAGACACATCACCCTCTCGGGACTCGTCAGCTGACCCATACGCCGACTTGTTTTCTCGTCCCGATTCCTACCCTTTGTCCCCTGATCTCGAAGGCGAGCTCGAGCTTGCCCTTCTTGCCGAATTAGACGAGCTTGACGATCGACTGCCGCCCCTCATAGAACACAGAGCACAACGACCCAACCGCCCTGGCAATATGGCAGCACCAAGACAGGCCAACGCCGCGAACGGCGCAGGTGCAGGTCCCGATGTGCTGGTCGACTTGGAACTGTACTTTAGGCAGGAGCGACCCCAACGCAGAGCTCAGCAGAACCAGCAAGGCCCAGCTGATGTAATCGACCTCACGAACGAGCCAGACAGTCCCGTTCAATCCCATGCGCCACGACCAAGCGTGAATCCTCGACGGCAGAATTCGCAGGGACGCAACCCTCCAGCACTTGCACGAAGCGACAGCAGCATCCTCGCCGGCAACGCACCCAACGTGATTGACCTTACGGATGACTCTCCCGAAGTCCCGCGCCGCCGACCCGACAGACAGTTGCCTCCAATTCCAGGGAGAAATCGGGAGCACAGGGACCGAGGCGGTTTCATGCCTTACAACCCGGCGAGCGCATTCAGTGGTCTGGCTGCGGGACTAAGGAGACACCTGTACCCGCTCCGTCTATTTCCCGCTCAAGAGGAGGACGTTCAGCTTCTCGGCATTTTGCATAATCGGATCAACCCAGGCGACCTGAATAACCCGCTCGGGAACATTCAGCTGCAGTACGAGCATAACGCTTTCGACCGCGCGGAATCCCCAAAACCCGTACACCAGCCTCCGCCTCCTGCGAAGCCAGGTTACACGAGAGACACAGGCTCTGACATGGTCGTGATATGTCCGTGCTGCAACGAAGAGCTCGCTTACGATCCCGACGTCCCCGCGAGCGAAAGTCATCCGTCACGCAAGGGCAAGCGGCAGCGTAGCGAGCACCACTTCTGGGCCCTAAAGGACTGTGGACATGTAAGATGTCCCGCCCATATGCAGAGATATAGGTTGAGACTAACTGCATTTAGGTGTACTGTGAGGAATGTTTCGAGAACCGCAAACCAACGGCCAAGCGCCGAAACACGGGCTTACCATCCAACCCCGAGGGTAAGATCATTTGCTCGGTCGATGGATGTGACACTCAAGCTGGGAACAAGGGCTCTTGGGTTGGGATTTATCTCTGATTATCGCGGCGACGATCGCAAGGATTGTTGGCTTGGCAGCCACAGGCAGAGGGTTGGCGTCATCCGGGTTAGCGGGATGCATTGGCTCGGCGTTTGAATTGGGAGGTTGGCTTCACTGGAACGGAGATTCCCCCATCATGGTATAGGTTTGACTTTGCGTTGCTTTACACGCTGCATGGGCGTCAGTGGTTTCCACGGGGCCATCAGTATCAGATGGGATCCTCAAAGGCTTAGGAAACCGAGAGATACATGACAGCGATCCACATTACATAGCTTTAGGCCTCGGTCACTCTGAGGTTATTGTGTATAGAGCCCGCAGGGGCTAAATCTGATTATGATATCATTAACCAGGATGAATATACCACTTGGTATCATGTCGCTGAAATTCATGCTATTCATTCCAAGACCCACTCGTGTTCTGCTGGTTCTAAGGGTATACAACGCCTGCACCACCGTCCCCTGAAATGCTCAATGTTATCGTTTATAATACTTGTCCGTTGTCAAAATGCTGCTATGTCTCACGAGGCCCCTAAACGCCGTGATGATTCTTCTTCCATGCGTCTCAAAAGTCATCCAAGTCGTCATCCCAATCAATAGCCGCCAAGTCCATTTCAATCAGGGGTGATGGTTGGTACTCGGGACCTCCCAGCGAAACTCCGGAGGACGGTTCACTATCCACCTTCGCCGGGGACTCTATCTCCAACACTTCCTGCGACGACATCATCAAGTCCTGAGTACAAATCAGGGGAAAAAAGTCGTCAAACATGGGTTTCGCGGCGGCCGGAGGCTTCGGCTGAGGAATGCGGTTGTGACTGATTTCCTGTAGAATGCCCCTGGGTTTGGGCGTTATCGGTGTCCTGTGCAGGTGGTCGTTTCTGGTGGGTTTTGTTGTCGTCTGGCCGTATTCTCTAAAAGGTGTAGGTTTCGTAGGGGCCGGGCGCGCGAAAGTTGCTCGACCCGGCAAGCCCCTGTTTGGTTTCTCTGTATAGCGTTGATTCCCTCGTTGCTTGGGATCAGGTGTCTCAAATTTGGCGGTGGTAGGCAGTTCTGCCTGTGGCGTGTGGTGCACGCTGGTGAAGCGAGCGCTGGACGGCTTTGCAGTTGGTCTAGAGTTTCTTGAGCTTTTGTGGGACTCGACGCCACCCTCAGTACGAGGTTTCTTGGCCTGATGTGATGCCATATCGCTGATCACCGGCCGGGTCGGAACACGCCATTGCGTTCGCTCTGGTAGGCTATTTTCCAAGCTAGTAAACCGAGGAGACTCGTATTCCTTGAGGGAAGATTGGGCGAAGGCCTGTGAATTCTCATCAGGCTCATCATCCTCGAGTTCTAGGGCCAACTGCGAAGCTGTCGGAAAGAAGTCGTCGAAGCAGTCCTGGATAATGGCCTGGGTGCTCGGCGGCGGCCTCTGAGGCGACAACTCCTGCGGTGATGGCGCCTGCGAAGAGCGCACTTTCGGGGGAGTCATTCGCGATCGAGGAATTGGAGGAGGGGGCATATTCGGCGGCGGCATCATACAAGTAGATCGTTGCGGCGGGGGTATTGGGGGCGGAGGCATCTTTGATGGCTCAACTGCTTGCCTTCGCTCAACCGGCACCTGCTTAACCAGGCCAGGCTGAACTGGCTCCTGCTCATTGCATCTCTGCTCCATCTGCCTCTCTGCAACTCGTTTAATCCCAGAGTTTGAAGTCTCAACAGGGGTTGCTTCGGCTGGAATTGGCGGTTTCAAGGGCTTTCCCTCGCTTTTCTTGCCCTCTGTGGACTTGGGTGCTGGCGCCCGTGGCCCGAGAGGCTTCTGGTCTCCTAGTTGAGCCGTGTCTGCCTTCTTCTTGACAGCTTCCAGAAAAACATTTTCTTGCTTGACCGAGTCTTTTTTCTCTTGCTTAACGGGCTTAAGATGTGTGGGCTGCTGGCCTGGCAAGAGTCCTTTGGGCATCATGAATCGTTTCGTTCTTGACTTTGCAGGTGGTTTCGGTGGATTCTCCACAGGTGTGGGATGAGTAGAATCAGCCTGAGCCGATTTAATTACCGGCGCTTTAAACACAGGAGGCGGCCGTGGTGCTTGTACGAAATTTGGCCTCAACACTGGCGGGGTCTTGAACTGAGACGTCGTGGGCGCAGAAGGGTTTGATTTGAACTTTTGAGAGGGACGAGGTGGCGGCGGCATAGATACCCGGCGCTCCTGAGAAGCCGCACTTCGGGGCGAGCGTATCGACTGGCTGCTGGTGGGAGCATGATCTGCCAACTTGGTCGCCGTGGCGACGTTGGGTTTCTCGGTTTCGGGGATCGGCTCACCCGACGAGTCCCTCTTTCTGCTCGTCCCATTCCCACGTACGAATCTTGCGATAGTATCTTGACTGGGACGACAATCAACTAGGGGTTGTCCTTGTCGTCGTCGGTTCTCGCGGGCCTCCTCTTCCTTTGCCTTCTTTCGATCTCGTGCCTGTTTTGCCTTGACAGCAGCGCGTTCCCGCTCCAGCTCTTTCTTGATCTCCTCTTGCCTCTCCTTCTCCCACTTTCGTTGCTCGGCTTTCGATCGTCGAGGAACCTTGTTCGCTTGTTTGTAGAGCTTCTGGGCCTGCTTCGACGTCATGGGCGGCCTACTCGGAGCACCGCCTGGAGCGCCATTCGAGATGACGCTGAAGGTGTTTTGATGCGTCGCCATGATGACGGTACTCTTCTCGGAGACATCGTCAAGGGGAGAGGCGTTGCTGGATCCAGCAGAGAGTGCGGTGGTCGGTTGGGAAGCAGCTCGATGCCGTCGGGATGGAAGGCCAGGCCGCCACTCGTTATGGCGGGGCAATCAACACCGAAGGCACTGTGACTCCAGTGAGACAATGGAAAGCGCGACGCGTCGGGGGAACTGAGCCACGTGATATTTTATTCAAGCCACACCGCAACGGTTCCCGGCGCAGATTAGCGCCACGCGGGGTACCTTTCGGCTGGCACGCGCCACAAATCGCGGGGCCTTAATTCTTTTTTTTCTGCAGCACTGCTTTTTCACAAATCGCAGCACATGCCGGCCGCTTCTTTTTCGACACTAATTATCCCCCAAAGAACTGCATAATGTCGAAGCGCGCTGCCGACGTCGAAATGGGCGATGCCCCCCTCAAGGGTGGCGATCGCCCTGAAGGCATGGAGATTGACGACAAGGACCCCGGCATGGGCGAGTTCGAGGACGAATTCGAGGACGAGTTCGAGAGCGAGAGTGAGGACGGCATCATGGAGGCTGGTGTTGACGGACGCCCAGATGCCGAGAGAGAAGCCGAGGAGAAGGAGGGTAAGAAGTTTGCGATCCCCTCAACCGTCCACAGACTGACAGATCAGGCGCAATGGAGGTTGACCAAGGCACATTCATCGTCGGACGTAACAAGCTCGAACCCGGCCAGTCGCTTGCGCCAGACCCATCTACCTACCAGATGCTGCACAACATCAGCACTCCTTGGCCGTGCCTTTCCTTCGATATCCTGCGAGACAGCCTTGGCGACAACCGCAAGGTCTACCCCGCTACCATGTACTCCGTCGCCGGTACACAAGCAGAGAACGCCAAAGCGAACGACAATGAGCTGTTGGTCATGAAGTTCAGCGGCTTGAGCCGCATGGAGAGGGGCGAGGAGGACTCCGATGATGATGAAGACGACGACGACGACGAGGACTCCGACCCCATTCTCGAACACAAGGCGATCCCCCTGAACTCGACCACGAACCGAGTTCGCGCCCACCAGATCCCCAACCAAGATCCCACAAAGCCCCCTACCACCCTTACTGCGACCATGACCGAATCTTCCAACGTCTTCATTCATGACGTTACTCCTCACCTCTACTCCTTCGACAACCCGGGCACCACCATCACCGCCCAACAGAACAAGCCAGTCTCTACTATCCGCGCCCACAAGGCCGAAGGTTACGCAGTGGACTGGTCCCCTCTTGTCCCTGGTGGCAAGCTCTTGACCGGTGACAACGATGGTCTCATCTACGTCACAACACGCACCGACGGCGGCGGTTTCGTCACCGACACCAGGCCATTCCAGGGCCACACCAGCTCCGTTGAGGAGATCCAGTGGAGTCCCTCCGAACAGTCCGTCTTCTCGTCCGCCTCGAGCGACGGTACCATTCGCGTTTGGGACGTGCGCAGCAAGAGCAGGAAGCCTGCGTTGACGATGCAGGTCAGCTCGGCCGATGTCAACGTCATGTCGTGGTCGAAGTTGACAACGCATCTCCTCGCCTCTGGCGATGACAACGGCGAGTTTGCCGTTTGGGATTTGCGCCAGTGGAAGCAGAGCTCGACGTCCGCCAAGGACAAGCCCTCTCCCATCGCCAGCTTCAACTACCACAAGGAGCAGATCACGAGCGTCGAGTGGCACCCCACGGACGACAGCATCGTCGCTGTTGCGGCGGCCGATAACACCGTCACGCTGTGGGACTTGGCTGTCGAGCTCGACGACGAGGAGAGCAAGGACACTGGCGGTGTCAAGGACGTACCGCCTCAGCTGCTGTTTGTGCACTACCTGTCCAACGTCAAGGAGCTGCACTGGCACCCTCAGATCACTGGCAGCTTGGTAGCTACCGGAGATGAGTTTAGTGTCTTCCGTACGATTAGCGTTTAGACGAATGTGGATAGTCAAAAATATGGGATACCAAAAGTTTGTTTGTTAAAGAGAAGCGAGCATCGTCTGTGATGCGTGAACATTTATCTGGCCTGTCTCGGTCGCTACACGTGGATGTCAAGACTCTTGGGTTCTGTGAGTTCGGCCGGGCAGCGAGCCGATTGGAAGATCTCGATGCGGCTTGCTTGGTTGCACGAAGCCCTGAAGAGCCTCGTATAACCCTGGCAACTCGATGTTTGCACCCGGGTATTACTCCGATAGTCACATGGTGGGCTTATTTTGGGAGCTTCGGTGAGGCTGCCTCGCCGAGCTCGCAAGACAGGGGCATCATGATGGTGCGAGGAAGTGAAGCTTGCGGCATTTCATCGGTCGTTCGCAAAAGTTGTGGGAAATTTGGCATCTCCGTTGGCGCATCGTGAGTTTTTAGCTTCAGCTTTGGTGTACCACCTGCCAAGAGCCAAAGTGGTTTGTTTCTCATAGACATGATGGAGGATAAAAAGGGCGAAGGACCCCCGCCAACAGCAGTCTGAGACTCAGGACAAATCAAGAGATTCAGAAACTTCACAGCTATCAATTCATTCTCGTCATAAACGTCAACATGCGCAACTTTTTGGGTTTTCTCCTTCTCCCAGGCCTGGCTCTCGGCAGTCCGGTCCTCCAAGCCCAAGAGCCAATCTTCGAAATCCACCAAATGTTTGCCGGTGGCAAGACGCCCGCAGAAGGAAGCTTGTTCGTACATTTCAGCCAAGTTGTCAATGCTTCAAACAACTGACATCATATGTCTAAAGTGCCCAATTCACCATCAGGCCGACCCCCAGCTCTGGCCTTGTGCTGTGCCGGGTAGACATGCCCGCGTCGCGCATAGTTCCTACAGTCACAGAGACAGTCTGCAAAGATCCAATCGAGCACACTACCGCGAACCAAATCACCTTCAGCCTCACACCGATGGGCGACGGCATGCATTTCAACGTCTGGTATGCCTTCACAAGCCATGGCGCGCTGCACGGAGAGAGGCACTTTGGGCCGAAGGAGTTCGACAACGTGACGCTGTCTGACGGCAGGGGCTGGGTTGTCTCTTACGTCGGAGAACATTGGTTCAACGTGACCACCAAGACTGTCATGAGAAGCCCTGCGAAGGAGCTGGGAACGAAGATCGAAGAGAGCCATGCATAGACAACAGTCTGGAGCCAAGTTTGTGCGAGGAGCTTCATGGGTATGAGAAGTAATGGTTTTGAGTATTTCGGACGGAGTCTATCTGGTGTGGAGAGAGCTTAAAGATCTGCGGTTGAGCCTCCATAAGAGTGTATCTGAGCAGTTTAGTAAACGAAGGCTCAATTAGGAGCTTGTTTCACTCACAGTCTGATCGTAACACCCTGCCGGCGTCTGGTACAAGTAAGCGCCCGTGTTGATGAACACTTCCTGGTTCTCGCAGACAAGCCAGGCAGCCAGGTTAGGGCGTTTGATATCCGGAGTGCTCCATGTAAGTGTATCGCCCTGGAAGGCGAACGTGCCGTACGTGTTCTTGGTGGTCGCGAACCACGTCTCGAGCTTCCGCTGGGTTTTGTCTGCAGGGTTCTCGACGTTGAGGTACAGCGAAGACGAGCCAGTGAGGTGAACCAGTTGACCATCCTCAATCTTGAACTGACCGGCGGTGCTGGGCGAATCGAGATAGGCCTTGCTGGGCGTGCCCGTGGGCTTGGCTTGAAGGTAGCTGTGGTAGTTTGGCGAGGCGACCGCACGAATCCAGTACCAACCCGAGACAAGGGTCGTGGGGACGGAACCGCCGCCTCCAGCTGCTGTTGTCGTCACTGTCACAAAAGTCGTCGTAGCACGGGTACTGGTGCCAGTTACGGCTGGTGTGCTTGAGGCTCTGGCCGATGTGGTTGTTGGTGTGCTTGATCCCGGGATACACTGGCTGTAGTAAGGGCTATTCATGGTCAGTGATTGAACACTTCTCGTGGACAGAGGCCTTTACTTCAAGACTGAGCAAGTGTATCCGCTCACGCAAGAAGTTGCGCCGGTCCAATTCTGCCCTCCACCTGTCACCATATTAGTGCTGATGTTTTGAAACAAAGGCAATGCAGACTGACATTGTCCCCATGCCGGAGCAGTGCTCTGGGCTTGAACCGAAGCCACCAGTAACAGGCTGGACGCCAAAAGATTCATCACGCCCATCTTGAAGATGGTTTGGTGACAGAGGTTGAGAATGGGTTTCTACAACGGCTGACGACCTTGGCGATCATACCAAGCATCAATGCCAAGTTTAAGAGTTTAAATACTAAAGCTGTGCCAAGAGAAAATGGTTGCGTTGCGTTCCCTTCCGGAAGCCCCATCAGCTGGACAATTTAACGGAAGCTTCTCTTCCTCTCCTTGACTGCAATTTGGTTCGTTCAATCAGAATGAGCAAAACGACCCTCGCCAACTCAGATACTAGTGTCCGTTGGGACAACGGCGCACCAGGTATATTAATTGCACCTTTCAAGGTAGCAACGCACGCCGGATGTAGGCCCGAACCAGAACAAAACCAGAAGGGAAAGATTTATGCGGAGTGAGTCCGGACGTCGGCTAAGTGGGCTTCGCGGAGGTCAGGCTCCGGATCTCAATCGGTCAGCCCGGACGACGCCGACTGCACATGATGCCCATTGAACTTGAGCCACGTGACCAGAATTTGTAAGACAGAAACACATTTGATGCGCATGAATCTTCATGATGAGTGTATGGAAAGAGCTTTGCCATCTGGGCGAGTGCGAATGATAAGGATTATTGGGACGACAAGGACTAAAGATTGACTTGTGATTATGGAGACGACTAGGAACCAGATTCTTGAACAGGAAGATGAAAGATTCAAGCTGACGCCCGAGCGATAAAGCCACTGAGGACATCAAGCAAGAAAGGGTCCAGTCCCATAACCTCCGCCCCATGACACAAGAGATGCCAAAATTCAGTCCGGTCATCGCCGCCGGCTTCCAAAGCTCCAATACAATTTCCACCACCGGTGGCCCCCGCGACAAAGGTCAACGTCAACAGGACCCAGCCAATGGCGTCTTCGGCGCATGTGCTTCCAGAAGGCTGGCGGAACTCGATCGTTCGCCCATTTTCGTTCCCGAGAAGACGAGCAAAGTTCCACTTGTAGACCTTTCCGTGGACGAAATCCTTTTTTCTGCCGTGGGCCCGGCCGTACGCGCTTGAGGCGGGGAAGATGCACATCGCCTCGACGACGGCGGATGTGCCGCGCTGCGAGGCCGTGTCGAGGATATCCCAACAATCTTCCATGGTCTGACAGCGTGCCATAATTGGATTCCAGCGGTTGCTTTGGCACCAATATGCTGATTCTCTGTCAGCGGGCACCAAGGCGTCGAAGCATGCCTCGTAGGTAAGAATTGCCTTGGACAGAGCGGCTAGCTGATACGGCGAGAAGTCCTGGCCGTCTTGGCTGATGTGGACGTGGGTGCTGCACTGCGGAATATTTTGGATCGATGAATGCTTCTGGATGGCGGAAAAAATGTTGCCCGTGTCTGCCAGCCAGAGGGAATCGAGGCTGAATATAGGAGACACCAGTTCAAGTGCCCCTGGATCAACGGTCAGTCTTTTCTCATCGTCTCGGATACCCTTTACAAACAGTTGTTCTTGGATGAATGTTGAGGGATGGTGATCTCCTGAACAATGGACCATTTGCGGTAGTTTGGGTCTACCTTTTCCTTGACCTGGTTGTTGACCCCCTTTTTGGTGAGACGGGCGCTGGTGTCTTGGGCCATGGTAAGCCACGTTTTGTGCTTCTTGCTACTGTTGAACGAGAGTTCGAGCTCGAAACCAAAGTTCAACGATTGATAAGCAGCCATGATTGGATATTTCAAGAGACGTTAAGTTTGAATACGACAAGAGCTGATTGTAGAGACACACGATGGTCACCACACTCAAGCTGAACAGCGGCCAGGGACATTATATGAACTCGCCGACCACCCCGGATATATCCAACCTCGGAGCGTCGCTAATGTCGACACTTGAGTCGCCCAATCCTGTTTCAAGACATGAATTACCTACGATGCTCGTCTCGCGTTTGCTGAGCAGCCAGCGCCAGTCTCCTGATCTACAGAGTCTCTTCCGGAAAGGAGGTTACAGCCAACCTCCTATCGACCTCTAAGACCATGGTATTGTATGGAATCCAGACCAACTTTTCTGTTTCATAGGCTCACAACCATCATTCTCCATGAGAGTCATCGCGAGACGCTCGCCGCCGGCGCTTGAGGCAGGAGAAACTCTGCCATGGACACTTGAATGTTACCCCTAAGCTTCCAGCCAGCTTGTACCGACTGTAGAGGTGGGGGCCGGCGAGGCCAGAAGCACTAAGCCTTGCGGTCATCGAATGAGATTACGTCTTTGACACTTGGAAGCGCCTCCGTCATTTAGAGACAGCCTGATCTCCAGGCACATCCACTTGGCGGCGAGAGATGTACGCAGGGACCAGGCTGGGCCAGACCGCGAATAGTCGACGGGTACATGGGCGTCAACTCGAAGGTCTCGACGGCCGACTTGCTCGCGCTAATATAGGCGCCGATGAGGGTCGTGAAGGTGTGAAAGGCCTGCGTGGAGGGGCGGCGAGAGCCATGGATGAGGTTGGAGCTGGGGGCGGGCGGGCGCTTTGGGGATGGGGGGATTACGACCTTTGCGAGACATTCCATGGGGTCATCTGACGCCGGGACAAAGGAGGCTGAGAGGCTGTTGGTTCGTTCTTCCGACTTCTTGTTCGCAAGACTTATTGGTAAAATGGCCCGACAACTTAAATAGAACCTGTTAGGTCGGCCGAGGTTTACGTTGTGTGTCGTGGCCACATCGCTTGACGATGGCCGTCCACAGACCCGGACTCTGTGAGGTTTGTGTGTCCCCCCGCAGTTGGGGCCTTCACCCTCACCAACTTTGCGCTTGCAAAACAGAACCTCCAGGGCGGCTGTTTGGTCAACCTTGGACCATATCCAGGAGAAGTGGTGCGCCGATGACGGAAGTACGGATCCATCGTCGACAGGATGTTAGTGGATGGGCGCATAATGAAGGCAACTTGGATGGGGAAGTGAGGGGGAATGAGAAGTCGTTATCGCAGTGCCGGAATGAGATATCGACTGGGATGGTGCGTAGTGGATGGTGAGGATCGCGGTTGAGAATGAGAAATAGCCTGGCCTCCGGTGCTGGTATCCCTCCTCTGTCAAGACGGCGGTTGTCCTGTCGCATTGTCGAGCAAAGGCGCCCTTCCGGCTTGACCATCAAGATCGGCAATACCTTGGTATTGTGACCAGCTATCCGTAGATCGATGCACAGGACCGTCAAGTCAAGATCCAGTGACTTGGGTCGCATGCAGAAGGCGCCGGTTCGGCGGCCTGTACCAGGGAGGGGTGTGGAACTGCGCCTGCGATCTTGGAGAACACATGCAGACGGCCGCATGAGGTACAGGAGAATACCCTCGTTGACTCATTAAGCCTGTCAGAGCGAAGGATGGAAAGTGACAAATGCTCTTTTGTGTGTTTCTCGAGCCTCTGTAGGTGTTCGGCGTGGATTACGGATGCTGGGTGAGGTGGCCAATGACGGAAGCTTCAGGGAGCCAATAGCGCCTTCCCCGGGCGAGAGCACCTGGAAGGTTCCTCGGCGGCTGACCCCACCTGCAGTCGCTGGAAATGGAAGCTGACAATTGCGACTTTTCAATGGATTTTCTTTTTGAACTCATATCGCGACGGCGATGATCAAACTCACATAACCCGAGTGAACATATAAACGCCAAACAGAGAGCCACGGGATCTTGCTTCTCACCATTGAAACTCCAAACTGAACTGCGCACCCACAAAGCCACGCAGCAGCAGCGATATCGAAAATGGTCGTCATCCACGCTTCCAACCTCGCCGACTTTGACCGGCTCAAGTCCGCCAACACGTACCTCGTTGCCGACTTCTACGCAGACTGGTGTGGGCCCTGCCATCAAATCAAGCCCATGTACGAGAACCTCGCCAACACCCACGGCCAACCGGGCCATCTGGTCTTTGTCAAAGTCAACGTCGACTCTGCGACCGACGTCGCCCGCCGCTACGGCGTGACCGCCATGCCCACCTTCATGTTCTTCGAGAACGGCCAGCCTTACAACGGCGGCCGCGCCACCATCCGCGGCGCTGACCCGCGGAGCTTGACCACTACCGTCCAGCAGCTGGGCCAGTTGGCGAAAAAGAAGGCTGCCGACGACACCGCCGCGGCCGTCAAGAAGGCCGAGGCCGAGAGGAAGAGGAAGGAGGCCGAAGAAGCCGAGAAGAAGCCCGACGACGGGTCCACGGTGTCTGGGGGGTACACCCTCGGCGGGCAAAGTGGGAAGAGGTCCGACTGGAAAATGTCCCTGAGGTGAGAGGTCTCATTGTGGCCTCCAAATTGATTTCACAAGTTTAAGAGCAAAACAGCATGGGAGGAGTCTCGGTAGATACCAAAGTAAATTAAATGCATACGTCTTGAGGAAACTTTTCATGTACTCCAATCCTGAGCCTGCGCCTATCGTTGCTTGTTACATCTTTCCCCCTGATCGCCTTGAACAAACAAAACAAAACAAAATGCCAAGTATATGTATGTATGCTGTTGTCGTCCCTTTCTCTCTCTTCAGCCGTTACGGGGGTATATGGTATCTTGTTCATGACTAATGCGCCTCGTCAAGTTGTGTCCAGAATATCAAATCCAAGTAGACACTCATTCATCCATCGTCGTCATCATCTAAATTTCACACTCACTTACTCTTTTCATTTACCGTCCTCGACGAGCTTGCCGCACCCAACGCAAATGAGCCGTTGTCGCCCGCCGACCCTCTTGGCCTTGAACTCTCGACTGCCGCACTTTTGGCAATTCATCTGATCGCCTTCGTCGCTGGTGTACTCCGAGCTAAGGCGGCTAACTATGGAGTTCATACGGCCGTTGGGGCCGCTGTCGCCAGGTCGCAGCAGCTGGGGATCGGTCTCGACCTTCTCTGTAATGTCTTTCTCTATACTCGTGCCATTTTGTTCCTCCTCGACTGTCTTGTCGAAGATGCCCGGGCCGATGCTCTTGCGCCGAGACGCCTTCGTGACGTTGCTGGCCGTCGTCGGTGTAGTGTCCGCCGTGCTCATGCTGTGCCGGCCTTGTCCTTGTGACTGCGCAGCGCTCACGTTGCTGAACGATACAGATGAGCGCAGCGACGAGATGCCACGCCATCGGTTCAGGTTCCAGAACGAATAGCTCGCGCCTGCAGGATCCAGCCGAAGCTCATCGCTTTCAGCATCGTCTTCGTCCGCCGACCGGAACGAGAAGCTCGGCGTCGGCGGGATCGACGGACCCCTCTCCCGGGATGCCCGGCTTGACGTCGGACTCGCGGGCAGCTGCGGCCGCGCTTGCGGTGAGCCGGCATACGGTTGCTTCCGCGCTTCTGACGCAAGGTTGGCTGCACTCGTGTTGATTGGGGTTCGGGCCGCTTTGTTGGGCGACAGAGACCTCTCGCTCTGAGATGGCGTGAGAACCATCGAGCTGGGACGTCCATGCTCAATCCCTTGCCGCCAAGAAATAATGTCAGAGCTAAGCTGAGAGGCACCCGGAGCCGCGGCTCGCGTGATGGAGCTTCGGCGTGAACGATTATGGCTGCCAACGCTGGTGCGAGTTGCGACGCTTCCGCTCCGACCCACCATACTCCCCGTTAGCCGGCTCTCATGTCTGCGCTTGATGAACGCGCAGTCTTGACGGAACACTTTGATGACGCCAGATTGGTCAGTCGTGACCAGAATCTGTCCGTCAAAATGCTTTGACTTCTCAATGTACTGAGGGGATTCCTCGGGCTTCTTCACCTGTGTTTTGGTGTCGTCATCAGATTGGCCTCCCTGGCTGGCGATGGACTCTTCGAGGCTCATAAGCGTCACGGGCGGTGGGTTGCATAGATCGTACAGAGGGTCTCCCGAGCCGCCGAGAAGTTGGCGGGACTTAGTCGGCGCGAAGATGGCCGTCGATACCCGGTCAGAGTGTGCGTCAAAGTATTCGCAAGGCTTATCCTTCTCCGAGTCTGCCGAGCGCACCGACCAGATGTACGTCTTCTTGTCTTCGCTTCCCGACACGATCCATTGTCCGTTATCACTGAAGTCCGCATGAATCTGACTGCAGGTGTTCTCCAGACCCTTGAACTTGGCGTCCAAACTCTTATCGCGGAGGTTGTACAGACGAACTCTCGAGTCGTTGGAAGTAATCAGCACCTTGACCTCCTCATCGATAACCATGGTCTTGATTCCAGTGATCTTGCTGCCTTTGGCGTTTTTGCCCCTGGAAGACCGGACATGGAGTTGGGACACGTTCTTGAGGCCGTCGGTATCGTAAAACATACACATGCCCGAGTAAACTCCTGCAATGGCCGTCTTGCCATCGGGCGAAAACGCCACTGCCGTAATCAAGTCTGACACATGCGCCGAGTAGGCCACGGCCTTGTCTGGAATGCTCCAAAGTCGGAGCGTTGAGTCAAGGGATCCCGCCAAGAAGAACCGATCGTCCGTGGGATGGAAGCAAATTGATGTGGTGAAATCATTGCTTTTCGCGGCGAAGAGACACTCCTTTCTGCTGATGTGCCATAATCGAATAGTCTTGTCCATCGATGACGATAGCAGAAAGTTGTTCTTGCTCCAACTAAGGTCGAGTACCTCTCCCGTGTGACCCCGGAACTCATGCACCGGTTTGCTCCGAAACACAGGCGCACTAAGCCTCTCCCCATTGGCGTCGTTGGCACTTTCTTCGTCTTCATGCCGCCGTCTCTCTTCATGAGTCGAGATCACTGCCCAAACCCGTACCACTTGATCCTTTCCGGCAGCAGCGAAGTACTTGCCGTCTGGGCTAAATTCGGTTGCCCAGATTGCGCCGCCATTGTCCGAACGCCGGCTACCGTTCGACGTCGTCACCGTCGCGCCTTTTTCGTCGTTTGCTTCGGGTTGCGGGATTGTCAGCTCTTGGGCAAGGAACATGCGATTGAACTCGCGGTTCTTCTTGTTGTGCGCCTTGATGCGGATGTACCGCGGGGGCTCCTTGTGATGGGGGATGTAGCCGGAACCGATGACAGAGGAAAAGACATGCGCATTATTGCCTTCAGTGCGCTGATCGCTAAAAACAGATTCCTCATCGTCGTCACGTCTCCGGCCGCCGCGCATGCTCAATCGACTCAGGAATGAACCCCCTACTTTCCTACATGCCTGTCAGTACTTGCGCCAAAGCCAGCCCATCGACGGCACCCACTTGTTCTTTGGAGCATCGAATGCGTGTACGGCAAGCTTCGTTGGCTGCTCAGGGTCGGGAAGAGGACTGTCTGGAGGTCGCCGGAGTTGTGGAGGAACAGTGTGATCGGTGTTGGTTCGCATCAATATGTGCTTCAACATGTCAGCTAGGTTGCCCTGAGAAGCACCGAGATAACGTCTCACTTGGGATAACGGGTCAATGGCAGCTGGAGAATGGACAGCGGCGGGGGCAGGCTTGACGGGCTTGAGCTCCTTCGCATTCGGAGTCGTACTCCGGCTCAGCTTCGTAGGCGTCTTCTTGGCGAAGGTCGGAAAGCTGCTGCCTATACCACGATTAGCATCCACCGTCCACGTCTGCGCCACAAGGGCGACGATCAAAGGCTCCCGCAGGTCGGGTGTCCAGCGGTGGGAAATGAGAACAGTGGCTCCAGAGCAGATCGTCTTACGTACCTTGGGTCTGGGAATCTGAAGCGGCTGGCGACTTCTGAGGCGTAACAGAGGGTTCACGGCTCACGGGGATTGGCAGACCAGGCTCGGAGGCGGACGCCGGAGGCAGAGGATGGGGTGCTGGGCCGTCATCGCGACGGCCGGCGTCCGAGAGCTTTATGGTGGACGTAGGGGTCGACATTTCCCATCATGCGCAACGTGGGCAAGGGGAAAGCCGCGCGTAAAGCTGGGTCGTGGAGGAGAAAGTTGGGTCGGTGTGATCTGAGATGTGTGTAATTGCTAATGGGTGCGCGCGCGCGGGTGAGCGAGGTAAGCGCGGGAAGGTAAGCTGAGAAGTGCCCTCGGTGGCTTTCGTGGATCTCGAATAAGCGGCCCTGTCTCTGGTGGACAACAGGTGGTAGTGAAGAGCAGGACGGTCGAGTGAAAAAGTAATACGAGCGATCCGAGAGACCCGATGGCCACGAACGGGATTGGACGGGGGAACGGGTGCGGCGGCCGGAGGGCGGGATGATTGGCGCTCCCACGGAGAGTTGTAGATGGCCGACACAGTTCAAGACAAACAAAGAAGTGCGATCCCGCGGATTGGAGATTGGGGTGGGAGGTACCGAGTTCTCGTTGGCAGGCCGCTCTTCCTCGTTCCCGTCGTTTCCGATACGACAAGCAACAGGAAACCAAGAAAAAAACAAGATGGAAACGAAAAGAAGCGGACCGCCTCGGACAAATTGAAGTAAGGTATCTGACGGTCGGTGTGTTAGTCGCGCGCGCGCGGTCTGAACGTGTTGCGTGTGGTGGTATTAATTTTTTTGGTGATGGTGAGGCGGTTGGGCGGGCTGCGGGTGGTTGGGAATGGACCTGGACCTGGACGTGGACGTGGACGCCGGGGCCGAAAACACATGGGAAATGGGAATAGTGGGAATCGGATGCTTGGAAATGGAGGCTAATACGGAGTACGCGGGATCGGGTTGAACCAGTCCGCGTATTCCGGGCGAAGCGACGGGGTTGACATGCGCAGTGAAATACCTAGAAGAAGAGGTCGGGGAAAGACAGGGCACCGCTGCGACGCACCTTTCTTGGGCACTCTCAACCAAGCAGGTTAAGGTAAGTAAGTAGGTATTCGCAAGCTACTGAAATGCCATGCAGCAACTTCAACTGCAGCTGCAAGGTCGATGCGTAATGTCGATGTAATAATAAGCGATGACTTTGCACCAGGACTCGGCCGGGGACTGGACTTGGACTGGCTGGCTGGACCTGCAAGACTGGACAGTGACACACACAACCTTGAAAAGCAGTGCAGATGCGCGGCTTGATCCGCACAGCTTCCTTGCAATTGACCAGGATGGGTTCCCCTCGCAAAGCCGCAGACTGTGGGGGAACCAGAAACCGTTTTGTTTCCTTTTTTTTTTTTTTTTTTTTTTTTCCTTCCGTCCTCGGGAACAAAAGGTGCGGTGCGGTAGAATGCGAGCCGAGGCAGCTGCTGCAAATGTCGTATTTCGCGTGCCTGTTGATTAATCGACAAACCAACCCGCGGGCTATGACGCAAATCCCCGAGCAAGACGGAGGCCGGAGGGCGACGGGGCAATGCCAATGCCGCTTCGCAGGGGTGTAACAGCGACGATGTTGGTCGCGATAGACGAGAGTGACAGCAAATGGAAGGGGAAAGAGGAACGCGGGATGAGAGAAGGAAAGAGGATGGCGGTAGGTAAGGCAGGTAAGGTAAGGTAATAGGCCCAGAGGTAGGGCGAAAATAAAGAACCTGAGGAAAGCAGCGCCGAATGCAGCAGCAGCAGCCGGCTTCAGATGTTAAAAAAGCCCAGAGGAAGGTGAGGTGCCTGACTGCACTGCACTGCGTTGCGACGCTCAGGGCGAAACACGCACACTGACACTTGACTGACACCACTTGGAACGGCGCCGTCCCTCCAGGCTTCCTACGCGGGCACACGCACACTACGTTCCATGGTGGAAGGACACTGGACGACCGCCACCACCGCCTCCACCACCACCTCTTCACCACCTCCTCCACCACCACCTCTTCACCACCTCGGGTTAGCCTTTTGCCCCAGCTGGTGCAGCCAGGCACCGGAATTGTGTGTCAACAGCCACTGCCAGCATGCATCCGATCCGATCCAATCCAATCCAACCTAACCTAACCAATTGATGGGTGATTACTTTGAACGCAGGTATCAACAGAGCAAGTCAGCATGGAATGGAGAGCAGTCTCCGTCATGCCAATGGGTCATACCCCATGCTGAGCCACATCCACATCAGGCTCATCTTTGGATCGCTTATTGTAGCATGCCGCATTCTTACGTACCTTGTTACTTGTTTGAGGAGGCATAATTAATATGGGGAACAGAAAGAGAGAGGATGGACTTTTGACGGCTGGGATTCAGGACCATTTCATCCATGGATGACGTCGTCCGCCCATTCGCCGCCCGACTGTGCCCTGAGCTCAAGCCGGGCAACGCAACGCAACGCAGCGCAACGACACCGACGACGACAACGACCGTCCGGTGATCTGCGATCAATGATCTGCCCGATTGAACCCTCGAGGCTAATCTGGAATCTTGTCCACAACGTCGGGCGGCGGGGTGCGTCTGTGAACAGGGCAGGGTGCCGATTTAAGGTGATGGCTGAAGGTCAAACTGTAAATCGTGCTGGCTGGCCACTGCGGCAATCAGATGACCATTGCTCTCACTCAGCATTCAGCTGGCACAGCTCTGCTGTTGTGTTGTTCACCGAGCTCTGGCCCCTCGAAACCTCTTCTTCTCCATACTCCTACCTAAATCCAGAGTGTAAGCTGGGATCATCTAACAAGACTCCAAACCCAATTGGACTCCCCGCGGGCTTGCTTAGTAGCTCCTCACGTGGCTGTATCCATGGCCACGCAGCAAACCCTACCACACCCCCGGTGAAGCCCCAACTCTGTTGCCTAGGTGCTCTTCAGCCCAGTGCCTAGGTGCTCTTCTGTACTTTGTACTGCTCGACAAACGGTCATCCCCGCATCATTGCCGGTGGCTGTTCATCCTTCAGACCAAGCAGGAAACGACACAGCCTCCGCCAGACACCTTCCCTCTTCCCAAACATGGTGTTGGTGGCGGGGCCAATTCTTATCGATAGGATATCGATAGAGATAACGATAGGTAAGCTTTGGACGCTTGGACCCCAGGCACCCAAGTAAGCCTACAGAGGTGCTTCAGTGACAGAAAGGTACACCGCACCGGAGATACAGCGGGGTGAACTGTCTTAAGGCGCCCGAGAAACGTCATCCTTAGCTCCCCGACCCCTGTTCCACTGTCCACATGCAGCAAGGCCAGCCCAAGCTAAGGCAATCTGCCAATCTGCGTCGAGATATTTTGAAATGTTCATCCACGACTCACCCTTCTCCTTCGCGAAAAATCGCCGTCTTCCCCAGGAGCCAATCCAACAGGCCACCAAAAACATGAAGCTGGTCCCGACCAAGTCGTCGCAGGACATTGGCGAAGATGCCGTCACTCTTCTGCCCGAGGACTCTGAGGATATGGTAAGTCAAGCCGTCTGATGCTTGTGTTCTTTTCTGTTCCCTTGCCCCTCGTCGCAATGCACCGCACCGCATCGCGTTGCATCGCAACCCACGAAACCAAATGCTAACCGCCGTCGCTCCAGTGGCACGCCTACAACCTCATTAGCCCAGGCGATCTCGTCATGGCCCATGCCGTGCGCAAGGTCGTCCAGGAGACAAAGACAGGCAGCACCATCTCCGAACGAGTCCACACCATGCTAGTCATCCGCGTCAAGAGCACATTTTTCGACCCCATCGTCGGCCAGCTCCAGGTCAGCGGCACCGTCAAGTCGGAGAATGCCTACGTCAGTCTCGGCCAACACCACACCCTCGACCTCGAAATCTCTCGTCCATTCACGATAAGCAAGCCCGAGGGCTGGGACACCGTCGCCAAGGAGGCCCTCTCCGAGAGTCTTTCCGACGACAAGGATGGCGCTATGGCTGCCGTCGTCATGCAGGAGGGCATCGCCAACATTTGCATCATCAACCAGTTCCGCACCGTCGTGAAGCAGCGCATCGAGAGTGTCATCCCCAAGAAGCGCAGCGCCGCATCCGAGACATCCCAGGGCATGAAGCGTTTCTACGAAAAGATCCTCACCTCCCTACTTCGCACCGTCAACTTCGATCAGCCCAGACCGTTGCTTCTCGCCAGCCCGGGCTTCGTCGCCGCCGACTTCAGAAAATACATTCAGGACGAGGGGCGAGACAAGTCGGACAAGAAGCTGTCGGCGATTGCCAAGGAGGCCATCGTGATTCACACAAACTCGGGCCATGTCCACAGTCTCAACGAGGTCCTGAAGAGTCCCGAGATGGGCACCAAGTTGAAGGATTTCAAGTTCACAAAGGAGACGAGGTTGATGGACCAGTTCTTTGAGAGGCTGCGATTGGAAGACGGGCGTGCATGGTACGGAGCTTCGTCCGTTGCCAAGGCCGTCAATGAGGGAGCCATCGGACCCGGCGGCGGCGTTCTTATTATGAACAACTCCCTGTTCCGCAGCTCCGACATCCCGACAAGGAAAAAGTACGTGGGAATGGTGGACAAGGTCAAGGCAGACGGTGGTGAAGTCAGGATTCTGAGCAGCGACCACGAGAGCGGTCAGCGACTCGACATGTTGGGCAGCATCGCCGCCATCCTGTCGTATCCCATCCACGACCTGGACGACGACGAAGACGACGACGCGGCAGCAGCAGGAGATGGCGACGGCGAAGAGACCATCATATGAGATGGCTACTATTTCATTTAGACAAAAAAACTTTACTAACGACCTTATGAGATATCAAAACATTTACCCAGCGATTGGCAGCAATGTTGAAGTGTTTGCAATATTTCCAGTGATGGAGGGGCAAATGGCGGGGTAAAGCTCCCGCCTGTTCAGGCGGGCTCCATGTCTGTGTGTCTGGACTCTGGAATGGCCTGTTGCCCCTCCCCCTCGTATGACGTAAACAGGCCCCCAAATAACTGAAACGCGATTCGTGATTGCCCTCAGCGGTGCGATAACGGCACGGATGAGATGAGCTCGGCACAGCAACACCGAAGCTGCAGCAAATGAGGCCAACGGGGCAAGGCGCAATCCCGTGGAAGAGCACACAGCTGTCCCAGTGCAGTGAGCGCAGTGCCCCGTGACTAATGGCCTCATTCGGGAGGACGAACCGCTGGGCTGCGAACACGTCCCGATATCTGCGCCTTCCACTGAAACCCCCTCACTTTGACTTGCGACCACTTCCACAACGCTTTGCTGCGCGTAAATACACAATGGCCGCCGCTCTCACCCTCCAGTCCAAGCAGAAGCTTCCCAACGGCTACGAAATCCCCGTGCTGGGATATGGTGTATGTGTTGTTCCCCTTGCGCGATTATCCGACACCAATTACTGACAGCCGAGTAGCTCTGGAAGACGTGAGTTTGTGTGAAAACACGCCCTGGCAGTATTACCATTGACACTCGTATAGTCCCCCCGAGCAGGCCGAGGAGGTCGTAATTGAGGCCTTGAAGGTTGGCTACCGCCATGTAAGACCACCGTTGACCCACACAGCTCGCCCGGGAGATCTGACATTCGCAGATCGACTCGGCCGCCTCGTACAAGAATGAGGCAGGCTGCGGAAGCGCCATCCACAAGACCAAGGACGTCCCTCGGTCCGAGATCTTCTTCACCTCCAAGGTCCGCCATATCAACTATGATGGTGCCAAGACACAGGTTGAGAAGACCCTCAACGAGACCGGTCTCGACTACATTGACCTGATGTTGCTTCACTGCCCTTACGGCGGTTCCCAAGGTCGCAAGGGCGCCTGGAAGGCTCTTGTCGAGGCTCAGGAGGCCGGAAAAGTCCGCTCCATCGGCGTCAGCAACTACGGCGTGCACCACCTTGACGAGCTCGAGACGCACATCAAGGAGCTGGAGGCGGAGCGTGGGGCCGGCAAGGGTGGCGTCATCGCCGTCGCACAATACGAGATTCACCCGTGGTGCGCGAGAAACGACATTGTCCAGTGGCTCCAGAAGCGCAACGTCGCCATCGAGGCATACAGCCCACTGGTCAGGGGCGAGAGATGGGGCGAAAAGAACCTCAAGGCCCTCGCCGACAAGCACGGCAAGTCCGAGGCTCAGGTCCTGCTGCGATGGAGTCTGCAAAAGGGATACATTCCCCTGCCCAAGAGCGTCACCCCCGCGAGAATCCTGGCCAACACCGAGGTCTACGACTTTGAGCTGTCGGACGAGGATATGAAGTCGCTCGAGACGGACGAGTACGCGCCAGTCTGTTGGGACCCGACTGTCAGCCCCTTGGACGGACCCCAGGATGGTTGAGCTTGAATAGATTGCTTGTCTCACTTTCTCACGGCTTGTCTCGGCGGGACGTATACCGATAGGCCGGCACCGATAGAGCAAGAGATAGAAAACAAACGACACTTCATTTACCGTTGACCAAAGTGCCGTAGCATGTGAAACCGCCGAGGTCAAGCTTGCGAACTTCTGGAAAGCCTCGTTCGACAGTCTTAGCGTTCTCGTGGCCACCGGCCACCAACTCGGGCACGTGTGACGACCTCTCGACGCCGACTTCATTTCCCGGATAGAGAGTGCCGATTCGGTCTCAGTCTTCGCAACGTCGACCGAAAGGGACATGAGCTTGCTCGACTGTATTTTATGATCAGAGGGAAAAAAGAATGACTTATCTTCTTATCATAGACAGCCGCAATCATCTGCCATCTATGCCCAACACTGGGAAAACGCCCGTCTTCTCAAGCCAAGACATCGCCGGAGATGAGCCATGGCTAAAAGCGTCCATAATGATGTGCTTCCTCTTCCTCTTGTCGAGAGAATTGCTCGGTGTCGACATCTTCTCTCGCCCGGCCCAGGATGAAAGAAACCAACACATCGATACGACCGAGCCTTGGTGAAGGTTGCGTCGTGGTCATTAGCCCACCATCCACCATTTGCGTATCAGACCACGCCGCACCAAGAGAATCGCGCTGTGCGGGATTCTCAAGGACGCAGCGACACTGGGTCGTCTTACTTGCAGCCCTGGCGGCGTTTGTTGCTCCTCTCAGCGTCTTCATCTACATTCCCATTATCGATACCCTGTCAGAAGAGCTACACGTATCCATCGAGTTCATAAACATTACGATAACATCCTATCTCATCGTTCAAGGTCTTGTTCCGGCTTTGCTTAGCAACATTGCCGATCATGTTGGACGTCGACCGGTGTATCTGGTCTCATTGTTTACGTTCTCTGTGTCGTGCATCGGACTAGCACTGCAAGGGTCGTACTCCGAGCTGCTTATTTTTCGAATGATTCAAAGTGCCGGAACATCAAGTGAGCTTCCACCTCAAATGTCATCGAGCCTTGCTGACTTTAGCAGATCTTCTATCTCTCGGAGCTATGGTTGTCAGCGACGTTGCCCCGGCTCATTCAAGGGGTAGGTACATGAGCGCAATGCTGACTGGGTAAGCTATGGGAATCACCTAAGTAAATATTGCACTGACATTTGCAAAAGAGTCAACCTTGGCCCCGTTGTAGGTCCATTCATAGGAGGCATCATGGATGATGAGATGGGATGGCATCAGTCTTTCTGGCTTCTTCTCGCCTTCGGAGCTGCTTGCTGGACCTGCCTCTTCTTCTTCCTACCCGAAACCTGCCAAAATACCGTAAATGATAGCATTGAGATGGAACGAAAAGTCAGCTGGCCGGTATCGTCAGCCCTAGTTCCCGACGACAAAGCGGTGGCCGCGCCGGACACCCAAGCGCTTGTCCCATCAACACACGCCTTCCTGAATCCTTTTCGGGAACTGAAGATTATTTTCCGACGGCTAGATGCGCTCATACTTGCGGGAAACGCCTTGGTTCATCTCAGCTTCACGTGTATCCAGGACTCGCTCGCTCATCTGGCGATGGAGAAGTACAAGCTGAATGGATTGCAAGCGGGCCTGTGCTACGTGCCGTATGGCTTGGCCGTATTCATATCTGCATACGCAGTTGGTGCGTATATTCGCCCCCATTGCATGTTTGTATTCTGACACCGAGCAGGAAAGATCATTGATCATGACTACACCGCCGTGGCGAGGTCTCATGGCATCTCCATCAGCGATTTTGTCGGACACAACTTTGCGAGCTTCCCTATTGAACGTGCCCGACTTCGAACTGTATGGTATCTGTTCCCACTTGTAATCGCTTCAACGGTGTTTTACGGCTGGGCGGTTGAGTACAAGATAAACCTGGGCCTTGTTATGATCACGCAATTCATCTGTTGTCTCGCGTCGACGGGCATTAGCAACGCGAGTTTGGAATCACCATACGGCACGTATTGTTGCTGACAACGAAGCAGACTTGCCTCACATTGTACATGGACCTCCATTCAAGAAACCCCGGAGTTGCAAGTATAGCAATGAACCTAGTCAGATCCCTTGCGGCCGCGGCCGGTGTTGCTGTCGTCCAGCTGCTGGTGGAAGAGTTCGGGACAGGTTGGACTTTCACCGCATATGGGGCCACCTGCTTGGCCTCTGTCCCGATGCTACTAGCAGTCAGGGCTTGGGGGCCGAGATGGCGGGAGGCAGGTAGTCGAATGGTTAGTGGGCAAAGAGGTTATTAGAAGTAGACAGCCATCAGGATACCGGCTGTGAGCTTCCTCACTTGAGCCCGGTGGCATGGCGCTATCAGACAGTCTCCTGTGTCGCTTTCCTTGGGTCTGGATAGAACGAGTGTTGATTATCATTACACACACGCACAATGTGTTACTACGTAGCTTGAACCCTTTCACCGTCGCTGACACCATCTACTCAATCTGGATCTTGACAGAAATGGAACCCTTCTTCGTCTGGACGACGATCAAGTCATGGTCGTAAGAGATATCCTCCACGGTGGTGTTGTACAGCTTCGACCTGGGAATAACACGCAAAGCCATCAGGGCCGCCATGAGGTACACCTCGCAGTAAGCCAAGCTTCGTAAATGTTAGTATGGAGACCCCAAAACTTGAGGAAAGCTATGACTTACTGCTCGCCAATGCACGATCGGCTGCCCTTGCCAAAGGCAAGGAGATACTTTTGGAGCTTGTAGTTGGGCTTCCCATCCACCAACCAACGCTCGGGGCTGAACTCGTCAGGGTCAGGGAATAGTTCCTTGTCCCAGTGGTTGATCATGGAGGTCATGCCGATGGGGGTGCCCCTGGGAATGACCCACTCCTTCTTGCCGTCACGGGTCTTGTAGACCAGGTCCTCCTCACGAGCAATTCTAGCCGATCGGTGGGAAACACCAGGCATCATGCGCAAGGACTCGTGGATGACGGCCCACAGGAAAGGCTTCTGCTCAAGCTCGGTCCATTTGAGGTTCGAGGGGTCAACACCCCGGAGTTCCTCCATCAGGCGGGCGTACGTCGTGGGTTGCGCCAGAAGATAGTAGGTGATGACAGTGAGCGTGGCCTGTGTCGGTCAGTTCATGATGCTAGTTCGAAAGTTGGAGCACGACATACGGCAGTGGTCTCGGTACCGGCCAGCAAGAAGTTGAAGCCCTCTCCCGACAAACGGTACATGGACTTCTCAGACTCGGGCATCGTCTTGGACTCCATTAGATCGGCAAAGACTCTTCCGTTCTCAGGGTTGTTCAGAGCTGCTTGGATGTATCCAGGAATGACAACGTTCATCTGTCTCATGACGGACTTGATGTCCTCACCCATGTAGTCGGCCATCATGGGGAGCACCTGCGCCATCTTTCTACCGAGAGCATTGTGTCTCATCATGTAAGCACTCTTGAAGAAAGACTTGACCCAGGTGGCGAAGTTGGGCTCCCAGCTCTCCTGGGCGATGAAGCCCATGGGTTCACCAAAGGCATACTGAGAAATGATGTCGGCAGTGAAGCAGTTGAAGGCTTCCTTCACGTCAAAGGGCTCCTTGCCAGCGGACCTGAGCATCTTGTCGATAGCAAGCTGAGCAAACTCCTGCACCTCGCCCTCCAGCTTGAGCATCTGCTGGCGGGAAAAGAACTTGGACAGGGCGCCCTTGCGCATGCGGTGGACTTCGTGGTTGACGGTGGAGAAGCCGGTGACGGACACGGGGCCGGCGCCGCCGGTGTTCAGCTGGTGCTGCCACTTGTCGCGGATGCGACCCGGACCGGCATAGATCTCATCGGTGAAGAGAGGGTCTGAGCAGTGAAGCTCATCGGGGTTGATTCTGACAATGGGGCCTCGAGTCTTTCTGTCAGAACTCAACCGTGTTCATGACTAGTGCTACCATGACTTACCGTATTGCTCGTGCATCCGTGCAATAACCTTGCCATATCTTCCAAGCAGCCACCAGTCGTAGTATGCCTCGTACAAGTAGCTCGCGGCTGCGATCTTGGGCCCAGGGAAGCGGGCCAGAGGGTGGAAAGGCGAGATGTTGTACAGCGCGACCAGGATGTAGTAGGCCACATAGAGGCCAAGGAAGTAGACAACGGCCATGGGAGTCAGAGCGGCCTTGAGGCCGTCGGCTATTGAGTTCACAGCCATGTTGAACGCGAACCGCTGGGTGGCATCTACACACGCTTGGGAGGGAAGAGGGGAAGGCGATCCTCGCAGCAATGCGACTTCATGCGCATGTTTTCTATGAGACCTATATACTGCGCATGGCTGTCAAGTATCAAGCTCAAGAACTGCATTCCACTTATCATCCGGTCCACAGCCAGTCGGGTCATTCATAAAAACGGCGAGCTGAGTGGTTGACGGACTGCTGTCACAGCCCCGTCGCGGCGAGATGAACAGACACGACCACGATAGCCCCTGAGAAGGGGACACAACCCTGACGACGAGTCGACTAGTGCTGTTAGTGCGCAATCACTGCGGGGGCGGTCCACAATATGCAGCGACTGGCCGTTGAAGAATGCCCAGTTGAGACGATGCACCGATGCAGGTTTCTGGGATTTTGTCTGCCCCCCCATGGAGATGGCTCGTAGTGCATGGACTTGGGAGACGAACTCGAACGATGAGTGTCAATCATACTGGAGATCATCAGGGATAGAAGAGCCGCAGACGGTTTGCGATGTCTTGCGAAGCGAACTCTGTCGTAGGTTTTCGATACGCGGCGCGATGGATGCGAAGGAGTCCTCTCCTTGACGATCCCACACCGCTGCAGTAGATACGAGGAACACAAGACAGCACTGCCGTAATGCAACGCATCCAGCGCTAGGACAAATTGTTCACAGATCTTCAAATGGCTTTATGCGTTTTGGTTGGAACGGACCAGGGCCCGGGACGGAGACAACTCCACCTGGAATCCGCCTTCAATGACACTCTCTTCACCATTTCGCCAGCCGACGAGGGCACAGAACTATTTGCGGCCCTTGTCAACGGTGTCAAAAAAAGAGCGAGAGACGGACCATCAGCCCCGTCCCGGCCGAGTCACGCAACGGCCCGCGATCTGGAGACGGCTGGAACGTCGTCTCGATCAGTTTCTCACACGTGCTTCTTTCTGGAATTTTGGACAGAAAGATTACCGAGGAACTCATTGCGATTGACATGATATCAAATAGCGCAGGTGAAGAATCCTGGCATTGCGTGGGATATGCATCCATGAGCATGCTTTTCGTCACAAATAGCCAATATACAGGCCCAAGACGTCGTCTTCCCAACGAAGTAAGTATCTCGCCGGTTGCCACTCTGGGCTCCATGTGAATTCCCAGGTCCCTGAAAACCCGACAGGAGGATGCGCTAACAACGTTTCACTTCTACGGATAGCTGGCTACTATTAGGTCCCGACGATAAGTCCCGACAGATAGGACAACCGTTGCTGTCACCTCGGTCAGCCCAAAGTTCAGAGAGTTTAGGGCCCAATCTGCTGGTTCCGGAGATGATCGGCCGCGCCATCAAAAGGCCTCCCATCATTGACCAATTGGGAAGCGCTTGATTGACCTCCTCCACTGTGTCTTCCCAAACTCGGGGTTGGTCTGGTTGGACCAACGCGGCGTGTCCTGGGACCCCATCCTCGTCAATTTCCAACGGTGGCCGGGGAACTGGGCCTACCGGGGACTGTTGCCGGTAGGATTCGAAGAAAACTCAAAGGCCCACTGTCACCAACAAATGCCAAGACACCGCGACATTTTTCTCGCACCCGGCGAAGCATGTGAGGCTGTATTTGTTCTTCTACCAGAGGGGTCTGCAGCTCAGTGTTCACTTGTGCAAAGAATCCATGTCCGCCATGCCGGGTAAATATTGTGGATGATCATCTTGCAACGTCTAGGCATCTAGGCATCCGCCTCAGGCAATACGAGACATCGATCAAGACCTCCCAGAGTAAATGCCTGCAGGAATTGAACCAAACAGTCTATTGCTGCTTGTAGTGTATGGAACTGCCGATGGGATGACGGATCTCTTCCAATCGAAGTGAAGCAAGTCTGCGAAGCAAATCTATGACCCACAAGCTGTCAGTCAACTTGTTGCCAACAAGAATCCTTCTGTGAACGAACCCACCCTGGCAGACCCCCAAGTCGCTTCATATCACATTTTGGGTTACTAGCCCGTCATTAGAATCCCACGAGTCACGGTGTCGCAGTTCCTGACATGAAGGACCCGTAAAAGTGCGAGGCGAGGCCAGTTGACCTACCGCGAACCAGGGCCGCTGGAAATCTCGGCGCCGCGAAACAGATCCCCGGTTCTATGTCAGCTGGGCCGTACCGAGAGAGATCTTCCCGTCGATTGCCTTCTGAAGGGTGGGTAGAAATGTGAGAGAAACTGAAGAACCTTCAAGTGCGACGGCCGTGCATTACAACTCTAACAGCTGGGGCTGATCGACCCGGTATATCTCCTAGTTATGTCGTGCTTCCCCCATCAACGGGCCACTTCTTGATATCTTGGTCCTCTTGCGCTCATCGCCTATCTATCCGTCGAAGTCGAACCGAGATCAAGCCAGTCGGTCATCATGGCTACACCCGCGGAAGTGGCGACGCCGCCAGTGCAGTACATTCCGATGACAACAAGCGCACGAAACTCTTTGATAGCCATTGGCTGTCTATGTGTCGTCTTCGTATCCGTCGTGTTTGCGCGCTTATGGGGTCGATTCAGGGGAATCGGGATCGGAGGAGACGACATTCTCGCCGTCATTGCTTGCGTTTGTCACCACGATGCCACGAACATCAATACGAGTTTGCTGATTTTACGTAGCTGTTATCGTGCAGCACCATCGGCCTGAATGTTGCCGTCTTCACATCAGGGGTTGGCTATGATTTTGACCCAGAGTCCGACGTTTATCCGAAACGTAAGTCGACAACCCTTTCCCATGATTGTGATATTCCTCTGAGACTAAAATTCATATTCTGAACAGTTGTCAATAACCTGCAATACATCCTCAAGGTGACTTTTGCATTCACGCTCGTCTATCTCTGGGCTTTAGCATGCTTAAAGCTCAGCCAACTCTGGTTTTACCACCGCGCGTTTTCCTTGCAATTGAGCAGGTGGATCTACGTCGTCGCAGGAATCGTTGTTGTTTGGGCTCTGACTTTTACGTTCCTCTTCATCTTCCTTTGCGATCCCATTTCGCAACAATGGACCGTCATGCGCATTGGTCATTGCATGGACCAAATCCTGGTCCTAAAGTGCATCATCATGACCAACGTCATAACCGACTTGTTTATTGTCATACTGCCCATCTGGACCGTATGGCAGCTCCAAATGAGGAAGACCGAGAAGTTTGCTGTCATCTCATGTTTTGCTCTCGGCCTGGCGTGGGTTACCCATCTTCCTGCTATCCAATCTATGACGGTACTGACATCCAAAACAGTTGCTGTGTCATTGGCATAGTTCGCTTCGTGCTGATATTCACCATTGATTTGATCGGAAACCTCACGGGTACCTCAATTACCACCTTTATGCTCTGCACCATTGAGCTGATGCTCGCGGGTCTTTGCATCAACATTCCTATGCTTCGACCTTTCTACGTACGATGGAGAGCGAGATACAAGTCTTCTTCCATGGAGAACTCCAACGAACAAAGCGGCTACAAGCATGGGTCAAGCAATCAGCTCAAGGTTCAGCCAAAACCAGGCCAGTACACTGCCTGGATCGAGTTGGTAAGCACTCTCTTGTCGTTCTGGCTATGGTCTAAGGGCTTTGACACACGAGGCAACTCTGCTACTTGCTGTACACCTATAAGAGTATCATGCTGACTGCCGCTTTGCAGAACGACAAAGATGGCCACGAGACAGTCAGCAACGACGACGGCGGATCCGAGAGAAACCTGACGAGGGGGCAACCGAGCGACGCGATCCATGTGAAAACAAACTGGAAGATTACCAGGGAATAATTCAAGACAAAGCAACAATACCAATGGACGGCAAAGTGGAGATGACAACACCCCGGGGTTAGAAAGTAAAATGGGAACCAGGAAAAGGGTGAATCAACAGGGCGCATCGATGGGTTGCTATACCCAGGGGCGGATACTTATGAACGAAGCTATATGGATCGATACCCATCCAAAGAGTCTACGGAACTTGAACATTTATGAACTGCAGTGGCTACCGGCAGATTTGGAGACATGTAGGATAGACAAGGGACCACTATTTCTGGGATTCTTCAACAACACCAAGCACAGGCGCTTTCAAGCGATGCCGTTTTCGAACACAATATGACCGCTTAGGAGTTTGCTGCAGTATTCACCAGTATTCAAGGGAGTTGACGCTTAAGCCGGTGTGGCCTCTACCACAAGCTCCTTTTTCTCGCCTAACCCCTGCTTATGTTGCTGCTCATTCTTGCGTCTTCCCTCCCTTTGGGCTCGACTTTCACTTGCTAGATCAAAGTATGCTAACAAAATAGTCAGTATACGCTGAGTAGACGATTCGGACTGAATCCTCACGCTTCTCCCCGAACACGGTGGTTCTGATGCCTCTTCGAGGCGCGTCGTATGTTCCCGGGATCACTCGATGGATTGTGCATCTGGTCAAGTCAGCACTCACCTTTCGGAAACAAGACTTAGACTGACCTGTTATCCCACATGGCAACAGAGCCTACTTCCCACTTCCATCGCACAGCATGGTCATCAGCTGAGTGAATATGATAGGCAAAGAAGTCGAGGAGCTTGTCGGACTCGTATTTCTTCAACTCTGCGAAGGCTGTCACAAAACCAGGATTGACATTCAGCGCCTTGAGACCAGAAACGGGATGGGTCCTGACAGCGGGGTGATGCGAATCAATGGGAGGACGGTTTGGACCAACGCCCCAAAGATCAAGAATTGTGTCATATTGCAGCCTCGAGGTGTGTACTGCGTGCAGCCCGTCGACAAACTTCTTCATGGCATCGCTGAGCGCATCATACAAACCGTACTGAGACACCCAGGCAGTGTCGCCCCCAACTTCAGGGTGCTCTTCCATTCGAAGCAAGGAATACGACGGAGGGTTCACCTCGAACGACGTATCGGCGTGAAAGTCTCCAGAAGGCCATGGTGTGTATTTGAGTATTTCTCGATGATCCTCGCGACTTCCTTTTATGATGACATGTTTGACGTCCTTCTGAGCCGGATGAC